TGCTTTTGCTTACAGATGTAAATTATTAGTGGTAGGGGCAGGCGCGGGAGGTTGCAGCATAGCTGCTCGGTTCGCGAGGAAGCTGAGAAACAACGATATCATTGTGCTGGAACCCTCCCAGGTGATACAGAATTCTATTTATCCCAGTTGTCAAGACTGCCGCAAAGACTCTTGCTAGTACAGATATTTACTAAAAAATTCACATGTTGACGACACGAACATGCGAATTCATTCCTCTGGCCTATAATCGCAAAAGTGAGCTGACCACAAATACTTAGGGTAGACAGATGGAGCGAGTGAATGGTGAAACGACTTCCAACAAAACTATGATCAAAAATACTAAGGTCTAAGGCGAGTCTATTACTGGTTGAAAAACTGCGCCCCTCCTCTCATCGCCACGCCTATTTGGCGCTTTAACATCTTCAGGGTTGTTTCTTACTGTTTCATAGTTATGTAATTCTCCAGGTGCATTATTATCAGCCGCTCTTCACCCTCGTATCAGCTGGCATCAAGGAGTTCAGTAAATGCCATCGTCCTCAGAAGTCTGTATTGCCTGCCACCGTCCGTTGGCTGGCAGACAGCGCTGCGGAGTTCGAACCTTGCAACAATACAGTGTATACCGCTCGTGGAGATGTGCTTTGCTACGACTACATGGTCGTTGCTGTGGGAATGGTCAACAATTACGAAATGGTGCATTTATTTATTATTTTAAGAAATTCTGAACCTGAACGATCGAAATGGGAATCTATTAGATATGCGAAAAATTATTGTACTTACTTGTGGTCCTGTACTAACGTTATGAATAGAGATGATATTCACGTTGACATTGTAACTCCACCTGAATCACACGTACAATGGAATCCAACGCGGTTTTCGTTGTTCAATAGGAATTTTCCAGGTAGGGTCACCTAGTGATTACCCATTATGAAGATGTTATCTGGTGGAGAAATACTTTAAAAAGAATCTCTTAAAATGAGACGGTATTCGAACTCTTAGCCTTTGGATGAAAGGTCGATTTCTCTAAGATCTAATAGCACAATTAGTAGAGCAGTCGAACCGATTAGCAAGAAGTTGCGGGTAAAAAACGGTTATTTCTATAATTAACATCACAGTTGTTTTTTTATGATAAAAAATAATGAGATCAATAAACTTTTATAGTTATTAATCGGTATTAGCAAAGCGATTCCGTAAAAATCCGAACCCAATTCGATTTCACTCAAGTGACCATATTCAGTATTGCATGTCACAAGTATAAAGATGTTACATTTATATTTACAGTTCATGTGACACCCTGTAAGGGTGTAGCAAATTCTGAGTACTAAAGGCTATACTTTATATAATATAATATAATATTGTCAACTTATTATTTAGAATGCATATCCTACTTAAGGCTATATATATCTAAAAACAATTAATATTTTATTCATTATATATTAATAATTAACATTGGCATCTACAATAAATGGTTTAATTTAAAATAACTTCTTTATATATTTGAGAATGTATATTTATTATATGTATAATTTATTATATTTTACTTAGGTAAGGCTTGAACTTGACTCTTATCTCCTTTTATTCATTTAACGAAACGTACCCATCCTCAAAGAATTCCGCGACACTGTAATAGCCTTTGTTTATAAGAAAGTTTTTTAAGTGATTTTCAAAAGCTTTCGTTTTTTCGAGTTCTTTAATGTAATTGGGTATTTTATTGTAAATTTTTATTAACATTGAATGGGGGGCTACTGAGTACAATTTCATTTTTGTTGAAGGGACCTTTAGTTTATTATGGTATCTATTGTTGCGTCTTAATAATTTTACCGGGGAATATAAATCCATATGCTTTTTGACAAATTTACAGGCTTCAAAAATATATAAGTTTGGCAGAGTAAGAATTTTCAGACTTTTAAAATAAGGTTTACAAGACTCCATTTGGTTTATATTTGTAATTATTCTTATGCATTTTTTTTGCAAGATAAAGATTTCCAGGGTATGTGGACTATTTCCCCAAAGAATTATTCCATAGTTAAGACGTGAATGGACAAAAGAATAATAAGCGGAGAGGGCTGTTTCTTGATTGGAGACACGTTTCAACTGCCTCAGAGCGTATACATATGATGACAGCTTATTAGATAGCATTTGAATATGAGGTTTCCAATTTATATTACCATCTATCTCTATTCCTAGCAAAGTGGCCGAATCCACAGTTTCTATTTTTTTTAATTTATATTGATAATCAATCTCTAAGGATGGTTTTTGGTAGGGTTTGAATTGAATTAATTTAGTTTTTTTTAAATTTAATTGTAAGTTATTATGATGAAGCCATTCTGTAACAGAATCTAATACTGTGTCTAAGTCTCTCCTCAGAGAGTCTGTATTTTTACAAGATATGATGACAGATACATCATCTGCAAACAGAATACAGTCTAATGATATTGCTTGGGGCAAGTCATTTATATAGACCAGAAACAAAAAGCATCCCAGTACACTTCCTTGGGGAATAGAACCGACTATAGGCACAATGTCAGATCTCGAATTTTCGATATCACCCGTATCAAAGTTAGTATATTGTATTTCTACGCATTGTGATCTGTTCTGGAGGTAAGATTGAAACCATTCAAACGCATGTCCCCTCACACCGAGTCTATAAAGTTTATCGAGTAGAATTTTATAATTTACTCTATCGTACGCTTTGCTCATATCAAGCAAAAGACCGACTGCATATTCCTTATTATTTATTGATTGCATTATTCTGTTCATATATTTGTATACTGCTAGAATTGTACTTCTATTTCTACGGAAACCGTATTGACTATCGTTCAAAATTTTAAACTTTTCAAAATAATTTATTAATCTTTTTGACATTACTGATTCTATTATTTTTGATGATGTTGGTAATAATGCTATGGGACGGTAATTGTTCAAATCGGTTTTATCTCCTTTTTTATGTATAGGTTTGACTAAAGATATTTTCAGGGAATCAGGGAAACAACCTTCCTGAAATGACTGGTTTATCAATAATGTAAATGGGAGCGTTAGTTCATCTGCACACTTCTTAATTAAGCATGGAGGGAGCTCATCGATACCATAACTAGTCTTGTTTTTTAGGTTACTTATTATTTTATGAATTTCTCTTGGTTCTGCCAAATGTAAATAAAGTGAATTAGGCACAGTATTTCTTATGCCTGGATTTTTATAACTTAATTTGATTTCAGCGTTACTTATAGAACAAAAATGTTCATTAAAACTATTTGCAATGATTCTTGAATCCTTTATTACGTTCTGCTTATTTTTTATTATGATATTTTGTTTAATCTTGCTGGGCCTTTGATTGGTTTCAGCCTTTATTATTTGCCACATGGCTTTACTTTTATTTTTCGAATTGAAGTATTTATTTTTATTATATATCTTCCTAGACATATGATAAGTTTGTTTTAGTGTTTTACAATACTTTTTATAGTATTTATTTAAAATTTCATTGTTAGTTTTTGCTATAAGTAGTTTTATTAATCTTTTATTATGACACGAAATTCTAAGACCCGGAGTGAGATAAGGCTTTGAGTATTTGGTATTTAATTTATATTTCTTTTTAGGTATCCACTGATTTAAGACCTTTTGAAGAGAATTGTTAAAATTATTAAAATTTTCGTTTATAGAAAACTCTGGTTTTATAATATTATGCCATTCAATGTTTTGAAGTCCTTTCTTAAATTTACATATATTTTTGTTATTGAATACACGTTTGATTATTGTAAATTGAATTGGAGGGTCGTTACTTTTTGGCACTGAGAGAAGCAACCCCCTATGATCCGAAAACCCAAATTCTCCAACAGTCAGTTGTTGATCACTATACTCTTCGAAAGCGAATCCGCTTAACTTACATTAGTGTAGAAATTTGTGTAAATACAAAACAAGATTGGTCGATTCATGTCAAAAGTCACTTCACTTATGCTAGGAACCATGATAAGGGCGAGCGAGACCTCCTGTAACAGGTATTCATGAATACCTACTAGGATGGTTTCAACCACAATTGTAATCATGAGAAATCGTATATGAAATAAATAATTTTTTCATTTTCATTTTTTCATGAATACCAATTCGAGATTAAGCGGATGTCGCTTTTTACGGAAGCGGTATGGATTTTAAGGGAATCACTCTGCAGATCCCAGGTCTAAATCGAGCTTTGAAAGAGCCTAGAAGTGGTGTATCGACAATATACGCGGCGGAGTACTGCCGCAGGACCTGGCAGCTGCTGCGCCAGCACCGCGGCGGGCACGCGCTGTTCACGTTCCCCGCCGCGGGCAGCAAGTGTTCCGGAGCCGCGCAGAAGATCATGTACCTTGCTGACGACTACTGGAGGAAGGTTAGTAGGAAGTGCTCGAAGGACCAGGTGATAAGGGCAATAATAGATTGCAAGGGATAATTACCTATAATACGTTTATTCTTGGTCATTCTTTAGAACCCTTATATGCTAACAGATACTCGATGCAAAAATGAAACATAAATGTTATTTTCTAAATTCTACATCTTGCTCGGAAAATGCGTCCTATCCCTATCTACTATAAGAATGATATGGAAAAATGCAAGTTATAAATTTGTTTCTGCGTGAACAAAAGACTTATTAACACAACATTCTAAAATTCATAAGTAAGTGTTGGAAATCAATAAAGTTCTGGGTATAACGGGGTGATGATCTTTTCTGAATCAAGGGGAATATATGGGTTGAGATCAAAAGTATGTCGAAAATTTATTTTGCTAATGTGTTATTATTATAAAATTATTTTTTATGAAAATTCTCAGCAAAAGAAACGTGATCTGACCAATATCACATATCTAACTGGTGGGAATTCAATATATGGTGTGGATAAGTACGCGCGTGCACTGTACAAGGTGGCCGCGGACCGTAGCATCGCCGTCAACTGCTGCATGGATCTAGTAGAGATAGGATGTAGAACTGCTGTTTTCCAGGACTCCTCTGGTCAGGTAAATATAGTATATAAAAGTAATTAAGAGCACATGAGAAAGAAGACATTATGGATCATAAAAAAACAAGGCTCCGACTTCCGCTTTGTCAGGAGGTAGTTCTTCCTTTCAACCTTCTGCATGTGACGCCCCCGATGTCCCCCCCTCCGTGCCTCCGTCGGTGTTCAGAGTTGGTGAACGAGGAGGGATACCTGGACGTGGACCATCAGACGTTACGCAGCAGACAGTACTGCAACGTGTTCGGTATCGGAGACTGTCTCGCTACACCTAACAGCAAGACTGCTGCTGCTGTTGGTAAGTACTACATGTATATCATTTGTTGAAAAGAAAATTTGCGATGAACTTTAGTAATATTGGAAATTACCTTTGATACAAAATTACACTTTGACTTCTCTCAAATAATGTCAAGGGTCGTTTACACATCAAAACTTTTTTTATTGTGTCTTGTCTGATTTCTATTCGGTGAAAATTTTTAAAATTTTGTTTTTCTCTTATAAACAATGTATTCTTAAATGAAAAGTGCTTAAAATTTATCAAAAAAATTTAATCTATTACTAGTTCTATTTACTAGTTTAAATATTTGTAAAAATATTTCTTTCGGTTGTTTGGGTGAATTTTCAGAACAATTGATGAAAGTAGGCTCTGTAGTATCGAAAAAGTAACAAGTGTTTGAAAAATTCGTCAGTCCTGATAGGTCCTGGTTAGCTCAGTGGTTAGAGCAGTCGCTCGGATTGCGAAAAGTCATGGGTTTGAGCCCATTCTCAGAGTGCCAGGATAGTTTTAGAAATAGATAAAACATTTACAATATTGAATTTCAAATCGCACCCATATTCGCGGTAGACTCGTCACTCAAGGTTTTTATTTGTGAGCACACTCGATTTGTTGCAGCTCATCAGAGCAGTATCGTGGAGCAGAATCTATACAGTGTGATGGTGGGTGAGGAGCCAACCGCCAAATATAATGGGTACGGAGCCTGCCCAATCCTAACCTCCTACAAGACTGGTATATTGGCAGAGTTCCTCTATAACAAGTGCCCACATGAAACCTTCCCGTTTGACCAGGTAAGACATTATGCAACCACATTCTATCTTATAATATCTACACGTCATAACTACTTTTAATTATAGAAGAAACTATTCAGATGAAAATATTAATAAATTTAAAACTAATCTCAGTAGAATTTCTTTTTCAAATGTTTATGAACATAAAGAATTAAATATTGCTTTTGATGAATTCTATGAAACTTTTCTTCTTTTATACAATCTTTGTTTTCCCCTCGTTAAGGTTAAAAGCAACTTGTTTAATAAACCTCGATTTTTATCGAAAGGCTTAAAAAAAAGCAGTATCACAAAAAGAAAACTTCGGTTTAAATACTATTCGAGCAGAACAGAAAATGATCGATTAAAATATATTAAATACGATAAATTATTTAAGAAATGTATTAATTGTTCAAAAAGAAATGCTTACCAAAGATATATAGCTTATAGTAAAAACAAATGCAGGGCAACATGGACTGTTATAAAAAATGAAACTAATGGGATATACAATAGAAGTTACATTACTAAAATTATAAATAATGGCACCGAAATTACTGACCCGATAGCTATAGCGTCTATATTTAATGAACATTTTGTTACTGAAACTAATAAAATTAATAATAACATACAAAACACAATAAAGAAAAATATACGAAACAGCATTTTCTTGACACCTGTAGATGCAAATTACATAAGTAAAATAATAATGTCACTCAACAATACCCAAACTGCAGGATACGACTCCATATGTACCAAAGTATTAAAAGTGTGTAAAGCTGAGTTAGCACCCGTTCTATCTTACCTGGTAAATATTTCGATGCAGTCAGGAATCTTTCCAGAGAAACTAAAGTTGTCTATAGTAAAACCTTTGCACAAGAAAGGCGAGAAAACTGATATAAATAATTATCGTCCTATAACACTTCTGCCAGTTTTTTCCAAAATTTTTGAAAAGGTAATGCATAACCAATTAACAACGTTCTTTAATAAATACAAATTAATTAATAGTAATCAGTACGGTTTTCAAAAAAATAAATCTACTATAGATGCAACTTTTGAATTAGTTACTAATATTTTGGAAAATGTAAATAAAAAAAGCTTCACTACAAGTATATTTCTAGATATGTCTAAAGCATTCGACTTTGTTTGTCATGAACAATTATTGTCAAAATTAGAAAGTAATGGCATTAGGGGACCGGCATTAAGATGGGTTGCATCATTTTTAGAAAACAGAACACAAAGAGTAGAGATAACTCAACTTGATACAACACACACAACCCAAATTTATAAATCGGAATTAAAACAAAATAAATTTGGAGTACCTCAAGGCAGTGTGCTGGGCCCTCTGCTGTTTGTTTTGTATATTAATGATTTATTGGACATAAGTGAACAAAAGATGATATTGTTTGCTGATGATATATCAGTTATAGTGACTACACATAAAACTTTGACATTGGAACAACATAAAAGTGATATAACGAGTACATTGACATTAATAATGAACTGGCTACAAGACAATAATCTAAAAATTAATTTATCAAAAACAAACATAATGAATTTTAATAATTTAAAAAGACAGGCAGTTGACATCTATTTTAACGGACATACCTTAACAAATTCTAAAACCACCACGTTTTTGGGTATTGTTATGGACACAAATCTGTCCTGGAAGGAGCAGATACAAAAAAACCGTAATAAAATAAGCGGATTTACATTTGCTCTGTATAAACTGTCTAGGGTGGCTAGTATAAGTGCAGCTGTTATGGCCTATTTTGCGTATGTTGAATCTATTATTAGATATGGCCTGGTAATATATGGGAATGGTACAGATATAAAGGAATTATTTATTGCACAAAAGAGATGTATCAGGTCGATTTGTAACATAGCACCAGACGTATCATGTAAACCCTATTTCAAATCTTTGAACATTTTAACTTTGCCAAATCTTTACATTTTTGAGGTAGCAGTATTTGTTCATCAGAATATTCAAAAGTTTACAAAGGTGTGCGATATATCCGAAAGGTCGAGGCGCCATCCCCATAGACTAGTATTGGAAACTGTCCCAAAAACAAAACGATTCTTAAAGAATTGTACCTCTATGTGCCAAAATATATACAATAAAATACCATTACAATTTAAAGACCTCCCTATTAAGCAATTCAAAACATTGTTACGTCGATGGCTGTTGAACCATACCTTCTATAAAGTGGAAGATTTTTTAAATCACAAGGAATAGCATAGTCGTGGTCGATGCAGAGTTTAATCAAATGTTCTAGTAGTTTTTAATTATGTAAAAGTTGACAATTCACAAAATTATTCCAATAAATGTAATTAAATTAAATATGTTTAGTATCTTAATTAATATTTAAAATGGACATTGTTTTGTAATCCAGTTGAACTGACATTTGCATGCTAATGAAATAATATGGCTAAATAGGTCTAAGTACGTTATTGAAGACAACTATCCACTTCATTGTAACCTACCCTATTTATAGCAAATAAAGAATTATTATTATTATTATTTTCAAATTTGCTGTACCGTTGTCGAGGCATTAGAAGTCAATAAAATAAAAACTTTATCACATTAGAAATAAGTTTTAATTTATTTAGACCCGTAATTCTGTATTAGACGCAGCCTTCGTATTTTCGTATCGATCATAACAAAGAAGTAAAGCTCTCGTATCGATCCAAGTGTTAAAAAAAAATACTCAATTTCATTGGTCGATATACAACATTGCAAATGCGAAGTTACAATAATTATTAATAACAGTCAATAGCGCAATAGTTATACCGCATGAAAATGTTCCTCGCATACACCGTTACTACCTAAATGACGTCATAGGCACATCTACTACCGTCGACAAAGAAATAATAATTGTATTTCTATTTAACTTAACTTTCCATCAACTAAAGACTAATCGGGAGTAGATATTCTTTTCGTAAATTAATAAGATATAACAAAACAAAAACAACAATTCATAAACTAGCGACAATACAGATTTGCTCATTGCAGAGTAAAGAGCGACGTATCTTCTATCACCTCAAGACGAACGTGATGCCATATATGTATTGGAATAAAATGCTGAAAGGTAAATGGAATGGTCCGGCCAACTTGCGGAAAATTTTAAATCCCATGGCGAAATAATACAACAGTGTGTGTGTTCGTATAAAAATATTTTATTACCTACCTACATATAAAATACTAAAATAAATACAACTGTACAAAACAATCGTAATCTTATTGAAAGAACAAACTCACAGTTTTTAATTCTATAGTATTTACATTTTATTTTATGTATAATACATTTTTTACAAAGTGTAAGTTAACTAATGAATCGATATTTTTTGTATAATTTCTCTTATGACATTATTTAATCAATATTAAATATTTCGAGTTTCTTTTAAGTTTTATTTTGAACTTTATGGCATTACAAAAAACTTGATATAAATTACATTTCTTATTGGCACAAATTTACGTGTACAAACTTCAATAAAGAACGCAATATAAGGCATATAATTTTATTTATTAATTTTATTCTTTATTGTATATAAATAAAAACATGACGGACTTAATGCAAAAGTCATTCTCTACCAGTCACATGAAAAAGATGTAAGATATAATGAATCAGTTTCTGTAGTGAATTCAACCAAATTCACATAATTTTTTTAAAGTATATGTATATCTCTTTCTTTCCTATCATTAATTAATACTATATTAAATAAGCTTATTTACTATTCAATTAATTTTGGTCTTTAAAGCCCACATAAAAATTCTAAAATGCTTCTATTTGTTTTTAAAACTTTTGTCACAATGTTAAATATTCAACTCACGTTTTATTAAAAGCACCAAATTTTTCTTTCTCTGTCCCATTGGTATGTTTAGCGTCGATAGCGCTTTGCCGTTTCCGCTTAAGCGCTGCTCTGCGTATCCTGTATCGTTTTCTTGTTGCAATGAGGTAGATTGTAAGCGCAACAGCTACTAACACAGAGACTAGGATACAAACGCTGAGGATTAGAGTCATAGTACTTACGTTGAACGGATTTCCTTCAGTCGAAGCCTCCAACTATAAAGGGGAAACAAAACCATTAGGGTTGGATCTTGGGGGGCAAAATTACGATATTGTAATATAAATTCATATACAGGGACCGTCCCGTTTTTTGGCTGTCTGTCCAGGTGTCGCCGAAGGTTACGAAGGTTACGCAAAAATGTCCTGTTTTTGAAATGGTGAGAAAATTATTTCGGAAGCACAGTTTAGTTGTCTGCGAATGAGGAAGTTTGAATGGACAAATTTATTCATTTGCTTTCTAATTATTTTGAGGTTATCCAAAATCTTATATTCTAAAAAGCTAGTGTTCATTTACAGGTGTCTGAGCTTACCGTACTTTATCAGAATCGCGCCATCTCTATATTGAGTCACAAGAATTCTTTTTTTTTAATTACGTTAAAAAAACTATGTCCCGTTTTGCTCCAAAGAAAAAATGGTCACATTAGTTATGACTCATGCTCTCTATGTTTTTTTCCACTACTAAAGTCTGCCCCGGTAGTGATCATAGGTTGAAGAGGTATACTTACAATATACGTATCGTGGGGCCCCGCCCTGAGGTAGCCGTCGCTGCACATGGCGCGGTCCGTCCAGTTGTACCAGTGCACCAGCCGCAGGTGCTCGTACGCGCGAGGGGAGCCGCATCTGGAACATTACACTCATTTCTTTGATTTCTCACATGAAAAAAAACATTAGTTCTAACATGTCGACAGGAAAAAAGCAACTCATAATATAACCCTCAATGTTTACTTAACTTTCAATTAACCATAATGATTTAACTGAAATTCTTTACCGTTTTCAATGTAAACACCTATAACAGGAACTGCGATCTATCCAAATCTGTTAAAACAGAGCAGATAAGTTGAGTTCCTACTGACAAAACTCCACTGGTAGGGGGCAAACCTAATATTAAAAACTTATCCCTACTGGTAGCGATAAATGGAAATAAAAATCCAAGTTTCCCAACCACTGCAAATCGGTGGAGATATGTGGAGTAACAGATTCCTTAATATATCCCTACCGGTAGCTATAATTGGAAAAAAGATCCTAGTATCCCTACCAGTGGGGATTTGTCAGTAGGGATATGTGGAATAGGGGCGGTATTGTAGAACAGCGGCGGCAGGCGCTCCAGCTGTTACCTGAGATCGTCGAGCAGGTAGGAAGAGTTGGTGTTGTAGAGCAGCGGCAGCAGGTGGTCGATCATCCACTGCAGGTGGCAGGTGCAGCGCCAGGGGTTGTGCTGCAGGTTCACGCCCTCGCGGACGCTGGACCACCGCAGGAGGTCCCGGGGGAGATTCGTCAAATTGTTCTTGCTTAAATCCAGCTGAATTGAAATGACATTTGATAATTTTATTACAAGTTCCAACAATAGCAGTGAAGAGTCCTTAAATTGCATTTTTTATGTAATAAACTGCAAACTTTTTATATAACTATTACTAACTCAATAGTTGTCATTGTAAGGATGAACCCCATTTTATAAATTACTTACCTAAACTTTACTTCCAACGTAAAAATGTTGAATATTATTTCGATAAACATTTTGATAATGCACGTATACCTAGATAACGATATTTTCAAACATATTTTCTTGTTATCGAGTATATGACGTCATTATAGTCCGGAACTTGGAAGTCACCTTACTATAAATAATAATTTTTTGAAGTTCTTTTGTGATTTTATCTTCTACTTTACAACCGTTTCTCTAATCGATACTTATATAAAACTGTAATCGCATGAATAATGTACACACGGCTGCACGTCAAGATACCACAATATGTAAAATTTCCGCAGTTGATTTCAAACACTATCGTCAAAGAATTAAGGTTTAAAATTAAGTGGAGAAAATTAACAGATTTGTATAGTTATTATATTTAAATGTACATAGAATATTATAATCGAAAATCTAATTGACGCCTCGATCTTTGAGATGTGTTTTTTTTTCAAATAAGTTATAAGTAATGTGGCGGAACGCTTTCTGTTCTTCTCACTTCCGGCTTTCCGGATTCCCTGACTCAAGCAAGCGTTCTGTCTCTGTCTGTTCAATTTAAAACGTTCCTCGTTAAATTATAAAATATGAACTTGCAGTTCTTGTTTCTACAAACTCAAAATTGTCGACATCTTTATTATTTCTTTATTGAATATAAATTATATCTTACCATACACACAGCAGTCCCTTCAAACGCGCCCACGTGAATCTCGTTTAAAGAGTGGCAGTTCGACAGATAGAGATAAAAACACCTAGATTCCTCTTCTATCTCGTCTTCATTCCTGCCCACTACGTTACTGAAAGCTTTATCATCCACTTTCACTAATTTATCCAAATCATTCATATGTAACCTTTTTAGAACTATCACATTGTTAAAATATATGCTCTTTATAGGATTGCCATCTAAACGCAACTCTTCTAAGTTGGGAAAGTATTGCTCGCTCAAAGTCTTCGGGATCTCATTGAACAGATTATATGAAATGTCCAGGATAAAAAGATTGGGTAAGCTCTTCTGAATGTCTAAGTTCTTAATCTGATTACCACCTACTTTTAAAATCTGTAAACAATTACAAAAAATATAAAATTGTGACAGAAATTCTGAAATAAGATGAACTTTTTTTTCAATATTTTCAAAGAAATTCTATTTTTTCCGTCAGTGAGATGATAGAAAAATATGAGATACGTATTTTTCTCCTCCTGTGGCCCCACCCCCGAAGGGGCTAGACAAGAAACACGAGTATAACCCACTAAAACTCAGCGATGTCCCTCGCATGGAAGGCGATGCACGGGATACATCGCGCGGTTCGCCCCCATTTCGGCCCGCCCTAAAAAGGGCAGGTCCCTCCGCGGGTTGGGGGTACATCTCAGAGACATTTAAGATGCACCCCCACGACGAGGCAGGAGCGTGCAATGCCGACCGGCGCGCGAACCGGCCAGCTGCCCCCGACTAGAGACCAGGGATGCGCAACTGTGCAATCTCCGATCGCCTACTCATCGTGTTGGGAGGATCCACACAGGCAGAGCCCTTATAGTGGACTCCCCCCCGTAGGTCGATGCGCCACAGAAGACCAGCCTCATCACGCCCTGTGTCAGCTCCGAGGAGCAGACAGGGCGAGTCCAGCCGGTCGACGGGTCGCACCCTTTTACTTTTCATCCTAATAAACAGCTCCATAGGGACCACGCGGGCGAAGCCGAAAAACGAATTTTCCGCTAGTGATAATAGAAAGAAGTTTGTAAATTTAGTTTTAAATTAAAAATCTACCTATCACCTTCATTTTGATTTCATCATCATCATCAGCCCTTTTAGGCCTTCCTTATGGATGGTTACGAAGGATAGGCCATGCTGGCCCAATGCGGATTGGAGGGTAGATAATTATGATTTATTTTTAATTATGTCAAAAACAATTTGTACTTACCTCTAAAGTCTCAAAATTAACATTAGTCTCGTCGTATAAAGCTGATAATCTGTTGTACGATAGATCAATATACTTTATGCCGCCAGGAAACGTAGGCCAGTGATAGAAAGTGTTGATTTTGAATATTGCTATTTGCAGCGCCGGTGGCAATTGAAAAACTAGCGTTATGTTGTTTTGTCCTAGGTTCAGTTCTTTTAAATTGGCACACGAATAGAAAGCATCTTCATCTATAATCTCGATTAGATTATTGGACAGATCTAAAAGTTCCCTGAAAGAAAGAAACATAAATTCAATTCCATTTATTTTACATTTCACAGGTAATTATAGAAGTTGTTATTATGTAAACATAGCGCAAGTGATGGCTTGTAACGGTATAAGAGCAACAGACGTCACAAAATTTAGGGGCAATCAATAGTATCATATATGTACATAGTATTCAATATTATTATTAGATATAAACACATACACTGATCAGATTTCAAGATGAACAGCTAAAGCACTCGTATTAAATAGTATTGGAGACAATGATGGTACCACATTACCCAAACACGAGAAAATAGTTTTCTGGATTGACCCGACCGGGAAATTAACGTATGAGAGACAGCCCGAATCTATTTGTGTTGTCAAGGGGGGCGAAACTTGGATGGCAACACCTTGAAACCTGTGTATTAGCTGCTCGACGGTCCCTAAATCAATTTTAAATTTAAAAACAACAACTTACAGTTTATTATCAATTGGAAACGAGTGTTTGGTCACTGATCGTATTCTGTTGCTGTTCAAATAAAACCTCTTCAGACCGCTCAAGCCGACCCCATCAGTCCTCTGCAGTAGCAAATCGTAGATGCCATTCTTACTCAAATCTAAATCCTCCAAAGCGGTCATCGGTAGAAGCGCCTCCAAAGGAATTTTAGATAATTGGTTACTTTGTAAATTCAACCTTTTCACCATGCGCAAGTGTTTAAAATCCAATGGATTGAAATCTGTGATTTTGTTATAAGATAGGTCGAGGTCTTCCAGCCTATCTATCTTGGTGAACAAGTCTGGGGTGATGGTCCTGAGGTCGTTCTGTGCGAAGGACAGTTTGGTCAGGTTGGGAACATCGCTGAATGGGTCAGGCCAGTACGTCTTAATCGCGTTATTACTGAACCGTAGCGATTCCACCTGGGAATTCGGTGGTAACCTGCAAGTAGATATATAAAGTTGTAATAGGTGATTTACTTTCGTATTTGATTTGAAGCTATAAAAAAGTCATAGAATTAATATCACATGGGTACATCCTTTAAACATTGTATACATATATCAGGGTTGCAAGATTATCGGGATACATTCGATTGCCGAGTAACAGAAATGTAGCAAAGTCCAAACTTTTTGAAATTTATTTTTCCTCTTTAGTCTTCCAATCTGTTTTTGAAACCGTGTTTATATTTCAGTTTACAGACAAATTAAATCTGAAGGATATGTCAAAGTTTAATTGGTAATTAAATGAATCCAAGCTAAATTTATGCGAATATGAGTTATTTGGTAATCAAAATATAGAATGATCGATGAATCAGTCGTCAGCTGTATGTGTTTGGCGCTGAATCGCGGTCTTCCTCGTGATAAAACCATATAGGCAGGACGGTGCATAGTTCAGTGCGGATTGATGAATGTTACCGACTGTAGACGCAGCCAGGACGAACAGAAGAGCCCATAATATTAAATGTTATCACCTATAAGATGATGGGCCTTAGCTATAGTTCTTTAACTTCAGCATTTGTAAACCGAACGCAACAACCAGTATGCCACCGAGCTCGTCTATCGTCATCATTATTAGTTTGCTCATCACCCAATTTTGGGACATAGGCAACGCCCTATGATTAGAATCAAGTACGGACAATGTGGCATAAGCAAGGAGCTAATAAATTTTTGGTCACCTACCCTACGATCGGCCCTTACGAAACTCGCTTAATTTCCATATCGCAAACCGAAGGCGCTAACCACTGCGAAACGGAGCTTCTCTATACAGTAGTATCTATACTCAATAAAAAGGTTACCTACATATTAAGTGTGTTCGTTTCGTGAGCCAAGAATCTTGAATCATTTATCAGAATGATCTAGGCTAGTTATCTTATAAGCCGAGGCGGCAGCTTCCGGCGCTGACGATTCGCAAGTAAACGTTGGTGCCCGACACGAGGCTGATTGATGGGAACATGCGCAAACTATACCGAATCAGGTGATAACCTTACATTGACCTCAACTTCTGTTACTATAGCGATATATGGGAGACATAACAATGCTAAGAGCAAAAGAACTTTCACAGTATAATAAAGTTTATATAAGGGTTAAAAAAGATCGCATTCTATCTTTAGGTTTCACTCCCATGAGAAGCTTACTGTTGGCTAGGTTATGATGTCATAAATTTTATCTATCCTATACATTGATAGTCTTTTTATATAATATCATTGATCCTATAGATTTCTTTCTACATTGTGCAGCTTAATATAGTAAAGAGTAAGTCATATCTGTTTCCCAGCTGACAGCGACAATAGTGTCGTCAAGACGTACCATGTTTTTATTATTTTTCACTAGTCCAATCCACAAGGGTAGTAGTTTCATCATCACAAGCACCATATATATATTTCCACTGATGAGGCACGATGCCTTCCAAGGGAGAATTGACTAAAAATATCACGCAGGCCCAGTGCGAATTGGTACAGGCGAATTTATGGTTACATACTAACGTTAAAGCTCATTAAAACTGTTTGGTCACAATCGATTCTTCCGATTACAATCCCTTGTGTTATTTGCTTAACTTCCGCATTCGCATAACGAACCTGCAAACCATTACACCATTCATCTCCACTCCTCATATAGTTTAACGAATACAAATAACAGTTTTATGAGTCGAACGCGAAGGTGGCGTATAAATTATGCAATTAGATTATCCACAGTTACCGTGCAGAAGAGCCGGTAGCGAAACTAATACGATCTGTGGGCAGTCCGCCTACACAAGGAGTGATCCAAAATTTAGATTATATGACATACTTTATAGAAACGAGAGAATCATATTAATATTGCAAGATATTCTTAAAATGGTTAGAGAAATACCTTACAGAAATTTACGGAAAAATTGTAAACAAATTAATTAATAGTTGTACAATTATAAATGCATCCAAAAACTCGTTTCTGAATCTCACGATAGCAATTAGTGCTACGAGTATCATTCAATCTTAATCGGTGTAAAGGTTTTTATTTCCACTCAACACAGCGACGTATGAAGAGTTGTGCACATAGAAAATCTGGCTCGAAGGCTCATAGGTACAGGCAACCACAAAACATAATTGTTTCAATAAAATTGTAGAATTTCCTAGTAATAAAATAATTAAAAAAGAGATTTAATAATGTTCATTTTTGAATAAAACTTCAGGAATTGAAAGCTTAGTTTTATTGTTATCCTTCTTAAAATATTAGTCCACATGCATCGCATATTTTATTCTTGAAAAATAATTAGGTACGTACGCCACGACAGTCAAGCAAGTTGTTTAGTATAATTATTATTCAGGTGCATTCAGAAAGTAATTATATGGATACATTCACTAACAAAAAAAATCCAACACTTGAATCATCTACATATTTAAATAATCTATAAATTTAATAAGCTGAGCCCGCAGAGGTCGCTGCGCTCAGCGCGCTGACCCGTTGACCAGTGTAACTGAGCCAAGTTCGCGTTGATTTATAGCGTAGGAAATATAATTTTAATCTAAACTAATCATTACCCACGTCAGGTTATCACAATATGAATTTCCGCAGTTGATTTTAATCTATACTCTATGGATTAAGGTTTAAAACCAATTGGTGAAATTGGAAAAAATGTCTCGACAAACATAAACGGCACAGGAATGTGGTGACACAGTGAAGTGCAACAAACAAAACAAATAGAGTCACTTTCAGCCAGTTGCACAAACTTCCAATAAAGTTACCCATACAAATTTGACATTCATTAGAGCTTAAAGACACCATTAAACCTTAATGGACGTTTGTGCAACTGACCGTTTACCATTTATAATGTAATGGATTATTTTTGTGATACAGATATGAATCCTAAGTTTTCACTGTAAGGTGATTCATTAATTGGACAGTGATAGGTGACATAGTCTGACACAGATACCATTTGAAGCGCATACATTATCGATAAGGGGCCCACCCGACTAATAGAAATATATGTACATTTAAAAACCTCTATATGATAGATTCCCTGTCTGAATCGTGATAACATTAGTTAAGTTTTATAAATTATCTACTACACTCTCACTTTCATTTAATAAGTTTTTTTAAATAATCTCGAATGCCCTAGAAAGAGTAATCAACACAGCCGATATAATTTGTTAGCAAACAAGTCCCTCGAAGGGCGCGTAATCAGATAACAACAGTAAGTAGGTATTCTCGTCTTGCGGTACGCTTCGGGCATTTTTACTCGTATTAATAATGATCATTAGCAGGGAAGATCACGTTTTAATATATCCATGCGGTATAGAGATAATAAATTAATAAAATCGTTAAATACTACAAATTTATTTGAAGTTTTGTAGTTGGGCACGGATAGAAACATACAGTGTATTATGACATCACAATCCACTAAGTTACAAGTACCGTTGACAAATAAACTCTGATTGACGAGTACACTTATTGAGTGAGATTCTGTTGAGATCACACATCATTCTTGTTATGTTTTTAGTGGTTTCGATTGTTATTGTTAAGTTTTATTATTACTTCATATGGTTTTCTTTCACAATTAGTAAACATAATTTCACTTAGGGGAAGTCCGGGCTAAGCAGACATCTTAAGCTTTGAAAGACTATGTGTGATCTACTAGACATAGAAATAAAATAGTGACGGAATATGAATCAGTCTTTATTAAAGTTTAAAAGAAATCAACAAACAAAAACGTAACTTAATAACTTTTCTTAAAAAATTTGATTAAATTGCATCCTTCGCTTCTATCCGTTTTGCCCAACCCATCGGGTAAAGTGGATAGTACCAAAGGGCAAAGTGAACACAATCAGACTAGGAACAATTACGAATAAAATATATAGTAAAGATGACAAAAAAAAAAACAAAAAGTAACTAATCACTTATCAGTACAGTTATCACAAAGAAAAATGCCCTTTCCCTCATATGCCGTGCATTTCTCGTGGCTCCATTTCTTGCAGGAACTGCATTGGATCCAATCATCAACTGGCTGCCCATTAACTTCAACATAATTTTCCCCACAAAAATAGCACGTGCAGTTTTCGTCATTTTCTTTAGTTTAAAATTTCTTAAGTTTAGTGTTTCTCGCTTCAATATTTTTGGTTATGTTGGTCTTTTTCTTCGGTCTAGTCTTTGTTTTTAAATTTTTGTTAATATTTTTTAATGCTTTGGTATTTGCTTTAACAAATTTAACTTTCTGCTCTCCCTTAACCGGTGTGCTAGTAAGCACCTCAGACCTTTGAATATATCTTTTTCGTGTTCCCATGGGAACGTAAGGACTTGGAAGTGGTCTTATTTCTCTTGGACTCAAATAAGCGGCAGGTGAAGTCTGATATATTGCAGGTTTTTTATTTGAAAGTAAAGTCGAAGTACTCATTAAATCGGTGTAAAAGCACCGATCTCTGCTTTATTAGCTGCTGGAATGACGTGGTCATCAGTACCATTAGGTGTGCATGATCTTGACCTAGTTTGATCATAGATTTCTTCGGAGATCAATAAGTTATCTTTTGATCCAGAGGTGTGCTGAATGTCAGAAGTAAAATATCTACCAGGGCTTTGAGATTTTAAATGAATCTTCTTGATTTACTTCTGGAATTATTGTCGGCGATACTCCTCCAGGCTCGCTAATTCCGGGACAAAAGACAGACTCCAACGCCGAATCATTCGTTTCTCTCATTTTTTGAGGTATGAACTTGAACTGTTACACAAATAGGTCCAGGAGGTTCGACCTCTTCGTCACTAAAATCATGATCGTAAATTTCCGAAGCTTTATTTGGTCCAGATGAACATTGAAACCCTGACGTCGTAGGCACCGCGCCATGGTCTACCGTTGCAGTTAACACATCTCGATTAGTTGTTTCATGAAATGCTGCTTTTGTATTTGCGGTATTAGGTTTCATCATTGTTGTAGAGGATGGTGCATAATCCTTATCTTCCCATATATCCATATTAATTGGCCAAATTCCTGGATATTGAAACCCTTTAATGGCATTATTGGCAGTAGCACTTTTTAAATATGCTGGAGTAAATAATCGAGCCACATCATTACTGGGTAAAGTGGATACCATATCCAATTTGCCCGTGTTCGCTTTGTGCGACAGGTACTTTTGAACGAAAACTAACCTACAATCAAATCCAGACACAATAACTTAATGAATATCGCAGTAATTCAACAAGAAAACATGCACTTTACGTCAATAATGATTCCAAAAGAGTAACACTATAGGCACAATAGTAATAATTAAAAGAAGTACCATAAAATATCGTAACAAATTGTGATATTATTATTTTTCGCCTTTTTTTACACAAACGACGCGCGACCTTGCGTTTGCTCTGCTTGTTTACGACTGAGGAGAGGGGGGCAGACCTCATGGCAAGCTACGGACTTGCACGAATACGCCATTTTGAAATAATGTGAGGTATTCACTTTGCCTGACCTATTCGCGTTGCCCGGACTTCCCCTACTGTAATTATATGTCTAACTAGCTTTCCGCCAGCGGCTTTGCCTGCGTGGTCTTGTATTATACATAAAAACCTTCTTTTTGAATCACCCTATCTATGAAAAAAAAACCGCATCAAAATCTGTGGCGTAGTTTTAAAGAATACATAGGGATAAAGGACAGAGAAAGCGACTTTGTTTCTGTATACTTTGTAGTGAACATAACCAAAGGTGATTATGTCTTTCATTTCATTTCACCTTTGGTTATAATAAAAAAAAAGTCCTTTTCATTTGTAATCTCAGTATTACTTTTGCGGCAATTTACGGGCTTACAAAATTAATACAAATATTATTTCTAGGGTTGTTTTCTACCTAAGAGTCATCGTTATTATATAAAACAATTATGTTTGCTACTTGAAACCCACAATAACATTCTAGTATTACACTTACTTTAATGTTATTTTGGAAATTGCTATTACTTAGTTTTACTGAACTAGACTAAAATGTTAATTCGTAATTCCAAATACTCACTTGCCAATAGTGGTGAGTCCCAGTCCTTCAAAGGCAGCCGATATCTTCAATCCATTAGGGTTGGGCGGCCATTCTATCTTATCCAAATCAGCCACATTCTCAATCCTGTCCAACTCCGAGCACAAAATATTCAGAACCAAATGAGTACCGTCCACGTCCGGTATCTCACTACATGTACAAACTTCACTCAATTTTAGTAATTTATAGTTCTCCCCCAAGTTCGTTTCATTGTTTACGTCTTGGCCTCTAACACTATACAAAATTAAAAATAATAAACCAAAACAAGTGGCGCGCATTTTTCTCTTAAAAAAATATATACAGCCGAGCACCCACTTTCGCCGTACAATCGCACTGAACTGATAAGATGTATTTGATATGTTGTCTTATCGTTGTATATCGGTACTATGTGTACATTGCTGAAACGCAAGCTAAAGATAATAGATTAATTCACTCATACTTTAAAACTACAATATTCAACCGTACGGTTCCCTTTGCCGAAACACTTTTTTAAATCTGTTATTGCCGCGCATTTTCCCGCTCACTCTAAATTGTCAAATACGAAATAAAACTTTTTAAACAAAACTAAACTATGGAGCTCGTGGTGTCGGCTCTAGACTAACACTGTATTACATTACGGTCGGTCGTATGGTTAACAAAGCAGACGAGCGCAGTAATTCGAACAGTGCACCGTCTCGTCAACCGCAACGATTATATCACCACGCCATTTATGAATCTAGGAAAATAATATTACCCTCCGCAGACAACTATGAAATATTCCAACTAAGGACCTCATTAGATAGTTTGCGAGTATCAAGTTCTCACCTGTATCAACTTAATACCATATAATATAGATTGATGTCTGTGTTTATGTAAATATTAGTAATTTAGTATTCTAATGAGATGTTTATACTACTTTGTCAATGAAATTGTATGTTTTTGCGATAGATTTAGATGATGTTTTCTATAGTCAACCGTACGTCAGTTTATACAAAACATTGTTTTTTTCCACTTGACTTTAAATTTAATGTCTTGTCGGTAGAGTTCAAAATCAACTGAGGAAATTTTAACATTATGGTAGCGTGACATACAACCGTGTGTACAATAGTATTAATAAATTATAAACATAATATGATTTTTAATTTCATCTAAAACTGCTATTGAATTCGGGCGGAGCTTTTTTTGCCCAACAAGACTAGATTTGCTAGTGTATCCGAATAAAGAAAATTTGGTAATATGTACCTCGCCTTAAATATAAACATCCTTCTATAAAGTAAATCAAATTAAGTCACATTGACCCGTCAAGATAGAGCGTTGAATAGAAAATCCGCTTAAAGTTTCGGTTATTATAACAATAGCTAAAGATCACATGTTGGGCTTCCCATCTCTTTAATTAGGAACTGGAATCGTATTCTGTATTTTTTTTTATATAAAAAGAGGAACAGAAATCCATTTTATTTTAATTATTCTATTCCTATAAATTGATTATAGGTACCTACACCATCCACTATTCTCCATCCCAAGGTTGCCTAAAAGAGATCACTTTAGTGATAAGGCCGCCAATTGTACGTCTCCTGTTTTCGTTATATAAGCATATTTTATTATGTGTATAAAAAAATAATATTCCATCTATTTGTCTGGCATTTTTGAAGTTGAAAAACACGAAACTTTCTTTAGGAGCTACTAATTATTAAACGTTCCAGTGTCAGGGATCAGATAAACAAAAAATCCTTTTTCAGTCGTTAAATCGTGTTACTATAGCTTAGTATCCAGACATAATACGTTTGAGATATAGTGATTTAAACTGTGAGATAGAAATTTAAAGTTTATTTTAAATAAAATAATATTCATAAGAAATCTTTTAGTTTGCAATATTGTAAATTGTAGGTCTTCCTCTTCTGTTTCATAAGGTTGCCAACTCTGGCCTACGGTTGTTAGTATAGAAGTCCGTCATTTTAGAAGTTACAAATATGACTCTTTATCGTAATAAGTTATGGTTTCACGCAAATGTTCGACAAGATGTGATTTTGAAAAATCAAACCCTGAAGGGTTAAAATAGGAGTTTTAAAAAATACTGTGTAACTGTTACAAACATAGGCTAGAAGACCGACAATGCTAGTGAAATTGAAAATGTAGTTTTCTTATGGCACTTTTGGCACGTATTATTTTCGTAGATTGTGTTTGCTGTTTTTTTAGTAAATAAAAGTATGTTTCGTAATTTTATTATTCCAATTAAAATAACGACAACGAGCTTAATATTATTGTGATAAAAAAATAATTTTATATACCGATTTAAAAAAATAGAAGATTCAAATAAATTATTCGAAAAGAAAACTAAGTGACATTAAATAAAAATAAATTTTATTTTCAACAATACGACATGCTCAATAGTTCGATAATACAAAAATAACAAATTTGGTAAGCACAGTATATCGATAATAGTATTTTCAGGATTATAATTATTAACATTTCTGGAAGACATTTTCAAACATATATACGCATATTGTTTCCGAAGGTTACAGCTATTTTTCTTTCGTTTATAGCTTTAATTCGAGATCAAAAATATAAATAACCAAAACGACACTTCTATCATTGACAAAGTGATATTTCAGGGATATGAAACATTTTCTTAAATATGTACATTTTACGAAATCACTTTCATTGTTAATGTTACATTTATTTTATAAATGAGAATAATTCTAACTTATGAGGTTGTCAACAAACTACCATGAACAATTTATTTTAATGAAAGAATTACATTTTTGAACTCGAATTCCATTTCAGACTATACATTATATGAATCAATATATATAAGGAATGTAGTTATGACTAATTATAACTAATTAATGTCGTATGTATAATTAGAGTATTTACAATAAGTACATGTTGCTGGCACGTAAACATATTTATTTATTTGATTTTCGTTTTATTACGTTTAAATGCTAATCAGCCTTATAAATTATTTAAAGGAGTTGCGATAAGCTGACATCAGAATTGAATAGAATAGAAAATGTCTATATTGTAAGCTTTTTAATATAACATTATCAGCGAGTTAGAGAAAGAAAACAAAGGATATTGTACTTAAAAACAACTTTTATAAACATTTATTATAATTAAATTAAAAGGTCCTTTACATGCATTCTGGGTCTAAAGTCCGTCTTTTTGTATATAAATTTTATTGTTATAATATGATACTTTTTCATTATAATACCTATTATAGTACAGGCGACAATACGTTGGGTTAGCACAAAAAGGTTAAATCATATCAATCGATTTGAAATCTTCAATTCTTGATAGTTAAATTCAAAAGAAATTAAGTATTCACACACAACTGCAGGTCAGATTATCATAATACGTCAAAGTGCCACAGTTGGGTTTGACCTTTATTCCCAATTATAATATTAAGGTTTAAAATCAAGTGGAGAAATCTGAGTTTTGCATAACCATGACATACTGTTGACTGTACATAGTGGACTCAGAATTTTAAGGTTAACCTTGAGTAAAAAGGAAATTAGAGTATCATCCGGTTTCTGAATTGAGAAACGTACAAAATTTCAACTGATTATTCTCAATAACTTTGTTTTTTTTACGTTTCACAGGGCAAAAGGTCCTAGTTTTAATTTTCATTAAACTGCTGTCAACTGATCATTAAAAAACTAAAATCAAAAAGGAAAACATGTTTGAGTGACGTCTAAGCATAGTTTAAGACGTTCTTAACCTTAAATTTTCAGTTCAGAAACCAGATGAGCACGAATGTTGCCAGGAATGTAAGAAAAAAAAGAGCATAGAAAAGATGGATAGACTGTGCGAAAGAGATGTGTAACATATGAATATATTGAGATGATCGATGAAACTGATCATGAAGTCTTGAAAAAGGGGCATGAATAGACCTCTTAACTTAACCAGAAATATGTATCACATTACTGTACATTACATGTAATATTATATTTATACTAGACTCGTACTCGTATATGAAAACGGATTTATCATTACATTTATGGGAAAATACATAAAGACATACATACAATCCTCATATTACACAAGGCGATAAATACCATATAAATACTGCCTTTTGGAAGCGTTACTTGGGACTCGCTATATTTACCTTAGTGTGTAAACGTAAAAATAATAATCGATCACGTTAGAGTTGATGAAGGTATTATATTCGCAAAACGATCAAACTTACTCTTATATTGTTATTTTAAATTAGCGACATCTAGCGTTAATGATATATATTTAGTTTAAACCGGAAATGATTTGCAGCCTCGACATATGACTCAATTATTGTTTTCAGTTCATAATCATGTTATACATTATGTCATGTGCAGAAACCATTTATATGGAAGGTAAGATTAAATGCACACCTTATTTATGAATTATCTGAAGGAAAGAAGAAAATCCATCGCCTGTACCATGTTTACTTTCAACACTACCGAATGCGTAAAAAATTAGTATGTATTGCAAGACAGCGTCTAGTGTGAAATATGGATTTATATACAATTTCTTTTGGCCCTCTCCGCTTTCCCCGCGAGGGGTACGGCGTGAATACACAGTATAGTTCTTTTATGTAAACGAATTAAAATATTTTAATTTTGTGTATCCATTCATTAAAATCATAGTTAGTTTTGAAGCCGTTTCAACTCTTAATTTACGCTTGGCATACTTACAGCATTTCACTGACAAAACGAAAGAATAAATGAGCCAGCCGGACTCACAATTTTGACTTCAAAATTCAATTATCATGCTTATGAGCTCGAATTAATATATTTAGCTTTAATTTGTTCAGAATAATTCAAAATTCGTTCTTTAGGATATGAAGCTCATGAATCAAATAGTGTTACATAAAGTAAAGGCGGCGAATGTTACATTAATAACTCGATAGAGCCTTGTGGATAATTAATATTGTATATAACTAGATTTGCAGTCTTACAGTGTAGTGTTCAGACTAGCTTAGTTTCATCGATGCGGCGATCACAGCGCGTTGTTCTCCTTCAACAGGTAATGTCCAACTAGACGCTTCTGTATGTCTGTCACACCGCCGTAGATCTGGGTGCCTCTAGCGTCCCTGTTTAAATGATAACATTCAATTTATATTTTCAGGATTTTATTACATACATTCATCAACACAACAGGTTATTCAAAATTCTAAAGTGATGAATCTATATGTATCTGTACGACAGTGCGTGTGTTACCAACTGTAATGTATTTGTACGACAGTGCGTATGTCTTGTCATATGTAATATATCTGAATGACAGCGTGTATGTGTTGTCATCTGTAATCTATCGATATAATAATAAAAAAATATTTTCTCATCACACAGAATAATGTCTTACATGCTAGTAAGTTACAAACACAGTTGTTCTTGAGGTTCTGGTTTGAGACTGATGCCTAAGTTAGATAATCAGAAGAATACCTGTATTGAAAGTCATCAGGCGTCCACTCCCGACAAACGAATGACATAATAATATTATAACTTACTACTTAAGGGTACACTATTGGATTTTAAACAAATGTATAAATTTCATAAAAAGTTTATATAGATGATCACGTGTGACAGTGCATGGGTACGATATGTGTGTGTGTGCGCATAATATGTGCTCATAAATATGACAGCGTGTATGTGTTATCATCTGTAATATATCTGTATGACAGCGTGAATGTGCTATCATCTGTAATATATTTGTATGACAGCATGTGTGTGTTGTGATCTGTAATGTATTTGTACGACGGTATGTATGTGTTGTCACCTGTAATGTATCTATACGAAAGTGCGTATGTGTTGCCAACTGTAATATATCTGTACGAAAGTGTGTGTGTGTGTGTGTGTGCGTGCGTGCGTGCGTGCGTGCGTGCGTGCGTGCGTGCGTGCGTGCGTGCGTGCGTGCGTGCGTGCGTGCGTGCGTGCGTGCGTGCGTGCGTGCGTGCGTGCGTGCGTGCGTGCGTGCGTGCGTGCGTGCGTGCGTGCGTGCGTGCGTGCGTGCGTGCGTGCGTGCGTTGTGTGTGTGTGTGTGTGTGTGGTCACCTGTAATGCCTCTCGGCGGGGTAGTCGGTGGACAATCCGCGGCCGCCGAGTATCTGCACGCAGTGGTCGGCGACGGCGGTCGCGTTACGTCCGGCCACATACTTGGCCATCGCGCTGTTCTTGGTGCACACTTGTGTGGCGGCGCGGTAAGTCAACAGCCGAGCCGTCTCCACCATTATGCACATTTCCGTCAAACGATCCTGGTTCACATCACCGACTATGTAGTTATGATACTTCATCATCACCAGCCTTTTTACGTCCCCACTGCAGGGGCTCAGGCCTTCCTTATGGATGGTTAAGGAGGATGGGTCATGATCCTCCACGCTGGACCAATGCGGATTAGAGGGTATTAACGACTGCAAATGCAGCTGGGACCAACGGCTTAACGTGCCTTCCGAAGCACGGAGTAGCTCGAGATAATAATTTTTTGGTCACCCATCCCGTGACTGACCCTTGCGAAAGTTGCTTAACGACTACGATCGCGGGCCGCGGCGCTTATCCACTACGCCACCGAGCTACTCTTATTAGTTATGACACTTTGTGAATGATATATTTGAATGCCTAACCGACTGGATTAATGCAACTGTGTGTGTAATTACACACGCAACGCCATTTGTTTCTTACCAAATTACCGTAACCAATTTTGTATTCAACTGCAGCTACTTTAGACAATAATAAATATTAAACAACTGCACATTTAATGGTAAGACTCGAAATAAAACAGCTAAAGTGATCGCATTATGGAACTTAAACAACAAGATACCACAAAACCCAGACACGAAACAATATTAATAAATCTAACACGGAACCTCAAATACGGAATAAAAGTAATCGATAACATGGCTTTACATTCGAAAACAATTTAGCTTTTTTATTTAAACTGTCTTAAAAATACAAAGTGCTTTTAAATCAATGAAACTGTAACATTAAATTATCAACAATTTCAAAAAGCGACGTCATCGTGATCATGTAGGATCTAATTTTACTGTTGATTTTTGTTTAAAAACAATAATTTTAAAACTAGTAACTCTTACTTTTACAGAGGGCAGTCTCGTAAGGCACTTTCCGAAAGCCACTCTCTCTTTAGCGTAGTCCATCGCCGTGTCCAATGCAGCCTGAGCTATACCTGTGTTAATGGAAAACACTTATGATAGTTAATTTATCGATTAAAGTTTAGTTACCACCTTAACAGTATGTACGCGCATTTAATATGACGTAGTCTTTTCTTCTTATTCTTCTATTTATCTTTTCCAAAAATTCAGACAATAATCGACTGTTTTTCCTATTATTTAAAACTATATTAATTTCGACTAGTTTAATTAGTTTAATTTCGACTTGTTCGTCCATTTATACATTTTCATCCAAAACCGTTTCGGCCACAGATGTCAGTTACCCGCCCTCCACATCGATCATTTCCTTTGTGTTATTTTTATTCTTCTACCACATTTTGTTAAAACCACAGAAATAGATCTAGTTAGAAGGAACATGTTCGTCGATTTATATGGAGACCGAGCGTGCCCCATTTTATGTAGGTATCATGACGTCACGAACTTAATTTAGTGATGGAAAACATAATTTTTCTTCAATCGAATACATGTTGTATTTGAAACAGCATACCAATTCTTATCGATTTAAAAACCGATATCGAACGACGGAGACCAATGTGTAACATTTTGCTTAAATGTTATGTATATGTCACGAATGTAATTTAGTAAAACTGCACAAAATAGTACGTGCGGTGGCGTGACGGAGTCAGCGTAGTTGACGATCAAAATATCGGACCTTTGTCTTCATTGTGAATAGAAATAAGTATATTCCTCTGTCTAACATTATTCGTGTGACCAAATCATTTTACTTATACCGCATACCTAATATCATATTTTTATCAGTAAGAACCAACAGCTAAAATGATAATTAGTTTTGACAGACAAAATGATAATACTAACGTATCGATAGAAAAAAAATGAGAAAGTCACAGACTTCAATTTAGAATTCAATATAAGTCGATTAATTGAGATCGAGATTGCGTCAATGACTACAAAACTAAATGGATCAATAATTTATTGTCACAATAATACAGTATCACATACTTTATATCAATATATGTTCAATACAAAAATACTCTGAATTTTATGATAATACTTACCATTTCACACTTTCTCTTCCTGAGCTTACTGTACATATTATTTGATTCCTTATCTGAACAAGATGGGTCTATCTGCGGCACAAATTGTATTACATTCATTAATTATATAAAACAAAATATTATAAAACAAAGTAACTATTTCATTTTCTATTTGCAGTAAAGTCAAAAACTACTAGTTTTCACCAATAGATAGAATGATGCCATGTATAATTTGCCTAAGCAAAATAATGTGTGCTGAGGCCACTATTAATATCCACTGTAATACAAAATATCACATTTGAAATCCTAACAGTAAACACCGTTTAGCTACTACTAAGCTAAACGGTGTGATTGTTCATTTAACTTCTTCTTTTATTTAATTCCCTCGCACAACTGTGTTTGAATCTGTAACTAAACAAAGATGTGCAAAAGAAATATTACACTGTCACTAAATATATTTCTGTGATACTATCCTATCTATTTATGTCACCTGATTTATCCATTAGATTCGGAAAATTGCGGCTGTGACATACGGACGAACAGGCAGACTCATGTTCGATAGGATCGCTGGTAGATTACACTTTTTGTATGAAATAATGTAAAAAATCTTAAGGTATACTTTACCTTTTTTTCAGTTGTCATTATCACAACATCAATAGTCGGATATACTTCATAGAAATGAATTGAACAAATCCGACTGTTTTTTGTAGGATACCAATTTTTACGTCCTGTTGCTTCAATCCATTTTTTTTTAATATATGGATCATTCGGAAAACTTAAAAAAAAATACAGTAAAAATATTCAATATAAAAAATAAATTATCATTTCTTCTGCTTAAAAAACGATTTTTTTTAATCGGTTAAACAACATCGCATTGTACAGCACTATTCGCCATTTTTGTCAGAATTTGACCTTCAACAATTTGTCCTTGAATTATAGATCGATGGTTTTACAAGCACGGCAAATTTGGTTCGTCAAATTAAAGCCGTAATGGAAAGCTATTACTGGACACATGATCGTTTTGACGAAAATAATACGGAGCAAGAAAACAAATGATTTTTAATGCTTAATGGATATATCAAAACAAATAATTACTTACCGATGGAAGGAAATACCTCGATTATAAGATCCAACTATAATGGTGGTGTTTGAGCAGTTAATTATTGAACAACGCGTCATTTTAAATTTCACACCTAACGTTGAACTCGGATTACAATCGAAAGTAGACTGAGCCTCGCGGCGAGCAACGAAGCTGTCTAGACGTCGTTTCGGCACGCGAAGTACGTACACTTTTTCCTTCTAACTAGATATATTTCTGTGGTTAAAACAAAGCAATCACTCCATTGAAAAAAATTGGTTATGATGCCGGCGGTAAAACTCCACTCCTAGCGAGCTTTAAAAAAACGTGGTTAATAATTTTTATCACTTGGTATATTTCGAACCATTTGCAAGCATACGTATGGTATATCTACAGCGGGAGGCTTGAACTGAGACTTATTATTAAATGTGACATGTATGTAATAAAGTGGTTATTTTGTACATTGTATCGCCCGCTGGCAGGCACTGTCAATCAATGTATCTGAGGATAATAAATGACAAAGACGTGGCGCTACTTCAATTTAAGCTATTATTAAACTATGAGTGTGAAAGAGATAGACATACCGACGGCGTGCGCGGCGATGCCGATGCGGCCCTGATCGAGTTGCGACATGGCGATCCGGAACCCTTCCCCCACCTCCCCCACGAGGTAACTATTCGGAATGCGCACCTCTTCCAACGTCAGATCGCACGCGGTCGCCGCCCTGTACACACGCTTCTATTAGGGTGAGGCTAGCATTATAATTTATTTTTTTGGTATTTATTTTTAATGGTAACGTCTATATTATTAAATAATGGAGATGAAAAGAAAATCTAATAACCTTATAGTTATTTTCGATGTTTAATTCCAAATACGCACCTAACGCCCATCAGCGGTTCCTTCTTCCCTCTGAACACACCCTCAGCATCAAGAGGCACCAAAAAGCCTGAGGACAGTAACTTGAAGTTATACATCGTTTAAGTATTATGTTTTTTCATAAAAAAACAATGAAGTCATTTTTTTACAAAACTCGCTCTATAATTCGACAGTCGACCTTTATTTCACCACAACTTAAAGCACACCAACATCCAGTTTCTGATTTGATAATTTGAAGTTAAGCACGACTCAAACTGAACTAAAGTACAGTTAAAACGTCACTCAAACAGGTTTCCGTTTCTGTTTTTTTTTTTAATGACCAATTGATAGAAGGTTCATAAAACTAGGACTTTTTACCTTGTGAAACGTAAAAAACTTAAATTGTTGAGATTTTGTATTTCTCTCAATTCAAATACCGGCCGTATTTGATAGACATGGGAGGAGTAATGACGTAATCAATTGTGGGATGGGACTATTGACACAATCAGATTATTTAGATATATTCAGTATACTAACAAGCGATTCCTTTGTGTCTGAGTGATGAGTCGCAAGTCGCGAAGACGACTGTGGCGGAGCCCTCGATCCCTGAACTGACCCAGCTCTTCTTGCCGTTTAATATCCAATGGTTGCCGTCTCTTATGGCGGTAGTTTTGATATTAGCTACGTCGCTGCCAGCATCTGTAATATTCCGTAATTTTACAAAAGGGAAATTAAATTTTCTGACCAATTACTTGGTGATTCTGTGAGAAATATTTCTATAAATTGTGGGGAGATAAATTATTGAGGTAGAATAAAAATAAGTAATTATTAAAATGAATGTCACTAGATGGCAGTCCTATGTTAGATTAATTTCTGATGATAATAGTTAGGTGTAGACAGTAAACGAAAATAAACACATTTTTATATGGTAGTGTTTATAATTTTATACTTGTTGTCACTTGACCCCAGACAGCGCGTGACGTCACTAAATTAAAACCTTATGCATACATAGAACAATATTAGTTTAAGAGGGGCATGACGTCATAGCGACGCCATGACAGAAGGTGTCGTTTTCGCGGGAAATTTTGAAAATAAATTTATTTTCAGATTTTAACTTATAATATAAATGATTCTTATATATATTTCATGTTATGTACATGAAATATATATAGTTGTCTACACTAGGGTTGTTGACACGTAACAATGACGAGAAAATGGACCAAAGAAAGTAATTTCTAAAACCGAAATTTGAAAATTCCGATCCGCAATTAACTTTTATTACATTAGAAAGAACCGGAATGCACATCGTAAATAATTTGATTGACCACTACAAATATTTCAAAGTACATAGCGACATCTAGTTTAATTTCGAGAACTAAATATTGTGTTTGAATGTAAAAAGAACTCTTCTTAAACTTATCAAAAATATCATGTTGATAATTTTGTTTTTTTTGATAACAAGATAAAAACATTTAGAATCACTTCAAAACCTAAAAGTAAATGTCTAGTGATAGATCAACCATTATCTGAGATTATTTACATAATATGGGGTCACTATTTTTGGTCAGGTTATCACTTTTTACAAATAAAATATTATTGTGATGAAATTGCAATGAGAATGAAACTGACCCAATTAGAAACTAATAGAAAATTAGGGGAATAATGAAACATTTATGGAATTACATTTTGAGATCAACTAACAAACAAAAGTAGTATTTAACAGTATACACAAAAGTTTTTTTTTTTAAGGAATATACATCAAAGAACTAGAAGTGGACAGAGACAAGCAGCAGATTAAAAAATGTAAAATGACATTTAATTGTTGTACAAACCAGGTTCACTTAGGGCAAAGCATCCAATTTTTCCACCAGTTGTGTAACACCTGAGGAACTGCTCTTTCTGTTCAGGAGTGCCCAGTTCATTGACCAAGTTCACATATAAAAAGTTATGGATGGAGAGGATCATCCCAGTGCTGGCACAGCCACGTGATAGCTCTTCGATGGCAACAGTCAGAGATAAGTAGTCCAGATTCATGCCACCATACTCTTCAGATGGTGTAGCACCCATTAGGCCCAAATTAGTCAATTTTTTGATCTAGATGAAATACCAATGTACATTACTTACTTTACTTTATAAAGTTAACATTAGTCTTACTTTATAACAGTTATTCTATTACATAACTTTTCAAGTATCTTTTAACAGAACAGTTATGTCATGAAAGATTTAAGTAACACATTTGAATACTAATGAAGGTCTTTCTATATTTAAAATTTGCTTGTAATATATTATGTAGTTTTTAAAATATACACACCAGGTACTTACTAAGTGAAAATATGACCCTATTAAATGCATCATAATAGAATAGCAGTTACTACAAGTTTAGATACCTACAAAATTATTACTTGTCATGAAAAGTTTAGAAGAAAAATCAAATCAGAGTCATATAACATTTGTAAGATTATACAAACATTTTAAAGATAAAGGATTTCTTTCATACAAACTCTAAGGATTTCTTTCATAGTTTATGTCAATACTAGTGATGTGCCGGATCGTTAAAAATATATATCCGCGGATTTGGGTCAAAATACAGATATGGATCTTTGTAATTAAAATTTTTTCAAGTTCAAGTAAGTTTAAATGGTAGGTACACAGTATAAATTTACTTTATTAGATTAATCATTCAATTAAAATTTATTTTTGTTTTTTTTTTTTCTATTATATTGATCTCATTATAATTATAAAAAAGATTTAAGTTTTGATTTTCTCATTTCCTTATATTTATAAAAGTGATGCTTTAATTTTCTATAATATTGATCTTATTATAAAGATAGTTGATTAGTACCTTTGAGTTAAGTACTATTGGTATGGTAACTTACTACGATAAATGTTTGCAATATAAAGGTGCCAAATATTTGATTTTAAGAAATAAAAAATACTTCAAATGAGTTTAATAGTTTTTTTAATCTACCTAATCATCTATATAGCATTTCATCCTATAAATGGAAAATGAATAAGTTAAAAGATCTGTGAGAAAAGTAATGGATACGGATCTTTATTTTCTGTTGGATATCTGAAACATCACTAGTCTATACCATTCCCTTTTAATAATTTTAATATAGTTATATTGTAATTCAATTACTTTGTCTGCTGACTCTTTGTCAAAAGACTAAAGTTGTTACAAAATAAAATATTGGATAAGATATTGAGTTGACTGATAAAATAGTTAAATTATGTAATCTATGTTGTAGTATAGCAACTTACTTGTTCAAAAGGAAACCTTCCAGCTAAGTCGAGCTTGCCTGCCTTTTGTTTAAGATGTTCTTCATTGAACCTTTGCACCATATCTTTGACTGCATACTGGGTTTCTGTCAGTTGAACACTGAATGTCCGACTTTGTGGAAACAGTGTATTGGACCATTTTAATGAGCTCACTTGAAAAATATAAAACAAATATGTTAAAAAGCAAATCTTATATCACAGCAAGCAATGTTGATTTCTGCTTGTAAATAACACCTTAATTTTTTAAATATTTAACCCACAACTCTACAATTATCAATTGCAAATACATTTACAAAATATTGACATAAACAGTGCAAATAAACCAACTTACGGCCCAATTTTGAGGTACTGCGGAATGCGCTAGTTGCCATGACAAACGTCGATCACATACAACCGAACTAAATATAGTGAATAAAATCGTATGTATCGAATACCGACAGCTTTATAACGATAGGCTTAAGTGAATAGTAATATCTGTGTACGATGTGATATGATAATATGCAAGGCCGCCGAAAACTGGATTTACTGGCTGTCCTTGCTTTGAAGCGTTACAAGTTTAACCCGTAGTAATAATAATACTTCAGTCATATGGTTACCTTCTTATGTTCAGAGAAGAAAGATAATAGAAATTAAATAAAATTAAAAATCTACTTCACACACAAAATTCCACCGGTTTGAGAAATTCTATTTCATATTTGTCAAAGTAGAATAATCATTAAGTGATACGTAATATAGGTTAGAATCGCTTGCTCTAAATTTAGAAGAGGGTTACGTCATTGGAATATTGACATTGACTTTATTTTTTTATATAGACAAAGGTAATAAGACTTTATTACCTACTAAATACGTAGAGATATTCCTTTATATATTTTTTTACTTTAATATTCTCTCGATATCTTCGATCAACAAAGATCGATATTCAACATTTCAATATTTTCTATGGAATTATTTATTAAATTATTATATTTGATTAATTTCGCATTCACAATGCTATACTTACTGAAAAATATTATTATTAATTTGAAGAATATTATTTATTGAATTTTAGATACCCAATATTTTAATAGAAAAATTAAGACCAGAATACTAAACAACAAATATTTCATTACCTTAAATGGAATGAGGAAGTATTATAAAAAAAACGAAAGCACTAAAAAAGCGCCTCCACTAGATGACGATTCTAGCAAAAGTTGATTTTTGCACCCAAAGACAGTCATTTCCGTTCCTTTTAACTAATATATTAAAAAACTGAAATTTGCAAAGTTCGAAACTTAGACATCAATACAAATACGAAAAAGTACAAATAGAATATGACTTGTTTATTGAGTTTTGAAAACTAATTTATTTTTAAACTTGAAAGAAAACCGTAAAGTTTTTCATGGAGAAATCAAAGAAGTACTGTAGCGACATCTCGTTTGATTTCGGGAACTTATGTTTTTTTATACTTCCCATTCTTAACGGTGGAATCTCGATTTTCCAGATCAGTTAAAACCAGAGGTATTCCGTATAATCAAAAATCTGGATAATCAATTTCAAAGTTAAATTTAAAACTTTTTAAGTTGACAATTAAAGCTGGATGAATGAAGTCCGTATAATCGAGATTCTAATATAATTATTTCTAATTACATAATACATACAATAATCTTTATAATAATACACATACTGCCTGTTGCTCAACCATTTTTTTTAATATGTCCTCATTTTAATGGACATTAAAATGAGGACATATTAAAAAAAATGGTTCTCGAAATCAAACTAAACTAAATGTCGCTACGGTACTTTCTTGATTTCTTCATGACAACCTTTACGGTTTTCTTGTAATAAATTAGGTACCAAATTTTTTTATGAAAAACCATAGGTGAGAATTACTAACTCTTGATATATTACGGGTGCAGGCTTGTATTGTTCTTCTTCTTCTTTTTTAATTCATGGCCTATTTGCGTTTACACAATTCCGCCAATGTCACGTTTAAAATACACTGTAAGTAAGTGGATCTTCTTCTTCTTCTTCTTTTTTAATGAATGGCTTATCTGCGCATTTCGCACAATTCTGCCACTGTCAAGTAAATAAATTAATTTTTACATGTAAAATGTAATGAATGAAAGATGGCGATGATACCGTACGTGGATCTGTTCTAGTAAATAACGCCCATCTCTCGATGTCATGTGTCAAGTTGCTGTCATAAATTCTGTCAATGTTTTCCAGTTGTGTATTTGTGATCGGTTGGAATTGCAATTTGTAATCTGTTGATGGGGGGAAAATCTGATCAAAAACATATGAGTATTTTATCAGTATTAACACATTCGAGGATAAATAAATATGACATCTATATTCGATCAATACGAGCAAGCCTCACAGGTGTCGCAGCGAAGTAAACCCGTATCAGAAGCAATGACATCCTCTGGTTACATTACGATGCAAATGGAAGACAATACTCCAATGTTTTCTAAACAAAAAATGAATTTTAATCCGTCGGACACCATAACACATGTTTCTGTGGCAAATGATTACTTAGTACTGGCTATGGCTAATGGGAAACTGTTCAGACTGGACTTGAAACAACCTGATAAACACGAAGGTATGTCCTCGTAAAGTCCTATGTACGACGCTTTATCATTAATTTTAAGAAAGTAAACATGATTAAGTATGTCTTAGATTAGTTAGGTCCAACCCAATCATGATCAACAGGCATATCTTAAAAATAAATTTACTGTTGAGAGATACTGATAGTTTTTAGTTTGGCAAATAAATTTTAATTGTAATTATTATTTGCATAAGCTTTATTTTTTCAGAAATTGAATACACAAAATTCCACCCAAATGCAAAACTTACTGGCATATTTTTGGACCCCCTTGGCTACCATCTTCTTCTCGCTTTCATTGCTAGGAACAAGGATGGTTACCCTGAACTTGTCTATTTGCACCGAAAGAGTTCAAAATTGAAATCGGTCAGTAAATCCAGAAACTATGAGGTCACTGAAGTAGGATGGAATTATGAAAATCTGTCTGAGAACAGTACTGGGCCTATATTGTTGGGAACATCACAAGGTCATATACTGGAAACTGAACTGGAAGCAGACAGTGACAGGATGTTTACTGTCAACCAACAGTATTGGAGACAGGTAAATGTTAACATAGACATTATTATATAAAATATTTAACTTACTAATCTTTGTTATTATTAATCTGTAAACTTTTTTTAATGAAACAACACACCTAGTGCTTGCACTTAAGCAACCAAACAATTAAACAAAAAAAAAAAGTAAGGTGTGTGTATAAGTTTGTCCTCAATTCTAGGGTTATTTAATAACACAAGCTGTTTTTCTGTGACTTATCCCATTTTTTTTATCCTATCCTGTTGACAGATTGACCTAAGTTTGGTACAGTTTCCTTAGTTCTGGTGACAATATGATTAATTAAATTCTATTCCATTGTAAATACAAGATGATGATTTTCAAACTTAGCCACAACTTCTGAGTATGAAATAAAAGGGCTTGACTAGTAAAACACAGTTAACTATGAAATATATTCAGTTAATTCTTTTTTAATTGTTAAAAATAATTTGGTAGGTTCAAGGTTCCAGTCATACCACCCCTCATCCTCATTAACCAAAAGCGTTGATCAGACAAAAAAATTAAGTCATTGGATGTAACATAAACTGAGTTAACACGTTGAGCCCGGTGCTGAATTTGCTGTCCTTTCAGTTCAGCCGGCAGCCGGCGAGAGATACAATGTTGTATGATATAGCCAAGAGCTTACTTTAGTACTAATGAAATAAGGAATTTTTTGTCGCACTATTTTGGATATTTAATATTACCAAAAAAGTTGTTACGTATTGTAATATGTGTAAAGATAAACCATATTTTTGTTTAGAATGTTTCAATGAATTTAATTAAAATTCCGACACTGGTCACACGGAAAGTTCGCTGCCGGGCCCCACGTGTTAACTGATTGGAAACATGAGCCTTTTTTTGTCTGATGACTGGTACCTGAAACATACCAAATTCATTTTTATCTTATAAAACTGACATAAAAAAAATAACATTAATATTGATTACCCATTAGTTTTATGAAACATATATGAGTTATGAAATGAAACATTTTTGTACACATTTACTATATTGCTTATATATTATAAGATTTAGTTTAAGTTAATATCTACAAAAGTGTTCTCTAATTTTTCAAGCTGCCCAACTATCTTCCTTTGTATGGGAGCAGGGAAATTGATGGACTGGTAAAAGGAAAAATATATATTTTTTAACTATGTTGTTTATATTAATGCTTCTGATTTTTACTCAGTACAGGAAAATCATAAATTCATACATTAATTTTATTCACTAATGAGGTGAAACTATAAAAAATGTTTCGAATTGATCTTTTCCACATACATTCAGCAGCATATCAAATTAAAACAAATGGCCAACTTTTTGCAATCAATTATCACATTATGTACCCCAAAATGCTTTTCTTTAACATATTAGATCATAGTGGTATTTCTTCCGACACTTACGACAGGGTGACAGGACCGACTACCTTTGACCCGATGCCATCTTGCCTCATTATACCAAAGTATCTTTCAGTAGAGCTACTAAAGGACACCTTGCCATGCCCATCCTTAGACATTTAATCCTGACCTGACGTGCTGTCGACAATACTTTCTCTTTGTATCTTTAGTGGCATGGCTGTATTTTTTTACAATAGCATTTTTTATTAAAACATATGTGTTACTTATTTTAAATTCTCAAATTTTCAGATATTTGATATAGGACGTGGAACTGATATACCTATCACAGGTATTCAATTCCACAGAGTGGGAACTTCGAACAAGTTCTTCATTTTCATCACAACCCCTACCAGATTATACCAGTTTATCGGTAACGCAGTAACCACAGATGGCAAGCCATCCCTTCAGTCAATATTTTATCCATATCTCACTACACCTGAAACTGGTTTTCAAGAAATTCCATCCACATTAAAGTATTCTAGATTGCAGTTCTATTTTGACAAAAATAATATACCAAAGACTTTCGCTTGGCTGACAGAACCCGGTGTGTTCTATGGACAGGTGAGTTCCAAGATTCTTGGAATAAAATAGCACTTACTATCATAGTTTTTTTAATACTAACAGTTTTAATAGCGCTCATGTCATGGACGTGATATAGTCCCCAAGTGACATGCAGCATGCTATGTTGCTGTAACAAAAATCATGGTCTAGCCATAATAAATTCGTACTGTAAATCTTGTAATAACAACATTTTTCCTTTATTTTTTAGTTAGATCCTACTTCACAACAAAATTCCAATTCCTTATTCACACAAGGGGAATTAATAAACTATCCACCGGATTCTGAACCGAAAACTGAAGCACCTTTGGCTTTTGTGCTGACTGAGTTTCATGTGCTCCTTATGTACTCGGATAAGGTGAAAGCCATATCACTGCTCAACCAGGAACTAGTTTACGAAGACACGTATTCAGTGTCCCATGGGAAATTGAAGAACATCATTAAAGATCCCAAGAGGAGAACTATCTGGGCTGTTACAGATAAAGCTGTGTTTCGGTACAAGGTGGTTAGAGAAGAGAGGAACGTTTGGAGGATTTACTGCGACCGCGAACAATTCAACTTGGCTAAAGAGTACTGCCACCACAATCCTGCTTTCGTCGACGTTATTAACGTGAAACACGCTGAACTGTTGTATTCCAAAGGAGACTACGAAGGGAGCGCCAGAATTTATGCCGAATCTAAAAGTAGTTTCGAAACTGTATGTCTTAAGTTCTTAGAGAAAGAGCAAATAAATGCACTCAAAGTTTACTTAAGCAGTCGTTTAGAAGCCCTAGAAGAGGAGGACAAGACATTGATTTCGATGATAGTGATCTGGATGACCGAGTTGTATTTGTCACAGTTGGGGCTACTCAGGAGATCAGGCAAAACTAATTCGGAACAGTACCATCAGATACAAAGTGACTTCGAAGTGTTCTTATTGCATCCTAAAGTCTCGAAGTGCATGCAGTACGTGAAGTCCGTAATTTACGACCTGATGTCATCACACGGCGACAAGCAGAATCTTATCAAGCTGACTCTGATCAATGAGGACTACGAAAACGTCGTAGCTCAACACATTTACAAGAAATCCTATTTGGAGGCTTTGAATATGCTGCAAACTTTGAAGAAACCTGATCTATTCTACCAGTTCGCTCCCGTATTAATCGAGGAAACTCCTAAGCACACCGTGAACACGTTGATATCTCAAGGGGCTAAATTGAATCCAGCGAAACTTTTGCCGGCTTTTCTGTCGTGCGAAACAGACGAAACACACGTAACCGAAATCATAAGGTATTTGGAGTTCATGCACCAGAACTTCAACGTGAAAGACAAGGCTATCCACAACTATCTGTTGACTCTTTACGTGGAACATGACAACGATGCCCTGATGAGATATTTGGAGCGGCAGGGGTCTGACGTGACGATGGTCAACTACGACGTGCATTATGCATTGAGGTAATTATATATTCCAGTACACGATTTCGTCATACGTGTACAATGAAAAAGCTCTGTTTGCAGTTAAGACACAAACATTTAGATATTAACTTATATGAATGAATTGGTTAAAGTAGGACTTATATCTTATACTTATACTTATACTTATACTTATCCCAGATTTGTATATCTCTTTTTAGGCATTCGATCCTGCCGAATTTATTTAAGTATCTTTAAATTAGATAAAGTTTCTGAATGTAAAGATGGAATTACATATAACGAATTTTGGACTTCGATAGTACAATGGAACGATCGAATCCGTCATCGTTGTTAAGGATCCCTTGCTTTAGCGATTGATGAGCTTCAATGAGGACATACAAAATGAGTTGTGTTTGCCTGAGACGCGTTTCATGTAAACCTAAACTCCCGTCGGAGTTGACGGCGAATTTGCACGTTTCAGAAAGGTTCTGGAGCCAATTCTAAGTGATTTGAGTAAGGCGCGTAATCGTTCAGGTTGTGCCGTGAGAAGAAGCTGTCGTCGGCGTGCGTGAAGCTGTCCGCGCTGCTGGAGCTGTGGGAGGCGGCGGTGGAGCTCGCGCTGCAGGTGGACCTGGCGCTGGCCAAGAGCGTGGCCGACATGACGCGCGACGCCGAGACGCAGCGCAGTCTGTGGCTCTACATAGGTAGATAATATATGGCAGATAAACATTCTCACAGTCAGTTGCACAATCGTCCATTAACGTTTAATTATGACTTTAAGCTCTAATGAATGTTCTAAATTTGAAAATTTGTATGAGTAACGTGGTATTAAACTAATAACAATTTTAATGGTCGTTTGTGCAACGGGCTGTCAGCCCTCTTATTCTGTAACTCTGACGGCAACCGAACCGGCGACAGTTATACGAATCGGTGAATTTGATACATTGGAATTGTTCACTTTTTACGGTGATTAAGACTTTAAGCTGTCAGTTGATTTAGCGAAAAGTCCTGTGTATCAGAGGCAGTTATTAGGTGCTTACCGAAAAATTCGTTTCTTTAGAGACATATTAGTGTTTCGAAAATACATAAAATTTTAATGAAATGAAAAAAATATATATTCAAATGAGCTGATTGTATTCGCAACAAAGATGTTGACGTTTAGTTTATTGAATTGTGACGTCACACGATGCTCCTCATGGCCAATCGCAAATTAATTTTGCAACCAATAAAATAATACAATATATTTTAAAACAAATAAATACCAAATATTTATTGTTTAATATAAGTTCCATTCCAACGTATATCATAATTTATTGTTTTAGGTAACTGTCAAGTAGCCAACTCTGACGGTGACCGTATAAACGATTAAAATTTATGTCTTTTTCCATCACATTAAGTGGAAATCAGGCGCGTGGATATTGATGGATCGCCCGATGGCGTGATAATTGAATCATTCTGATTGGCCGACATTCGCAGCGCGCCGAAATTTAGCCTTCCGCGTTGGTATATTAGAAGCCCCATTAGTTGTAACTTACTGTACCATTTTTTATAAGCATAGTATAATACCACGTCTGTTTTAAATAAAACAATCGGAAACCGATAGAATAATTCTTTTTTAGATGCTGTTTTCGTAACCAAGTAACTTTCACAGATCCATCCAATCGTGTCATTATCGGCCGCGCGCAATTTAATACGGATGTATTTCAGCGGAGCACGTCATCACCAAAAATCAAGATCTGAAGGAAGCCATGAGCTTCCTCAAAGAGTGTCCGCTGATTAAAATTGAAGATATCCTGCCGTTCTTCAGTGACGTCGTCACCATCGACCATTTCAGGGAGCCCATCTGCCAGTCGCTCGAGGTATTTAGAGAAATCTCACTAAGAAAATCTTTATAGTAGGTCCAATGAGAATGTGCCTTTATGTTTTAATGAAAATTTATTAATTGCATAGAAAATATATTGCATCTAAGATGAACAGGAATAAAATGTTTAGAATATATTGCTTATAATTTGCCTAATAATCTCCCCACTGCTTGAGCCCCAGCAGCCTCTGTGGATGAAATCGAATAGGGACATTGGGGTATGCCCCACTACGGGAGCTAAGTCCCCTTGGTGGTGTTAATAATTGGAGATGCAGCCGAAACCAATGGCTTAACGTGCCTTCCGAAATACTGAGGAGCTCGAGGTTACAAAGTTTTGGTCACCCATCCTATGATCGGCCCTTGCGCAAGTTGCTGAATAACCTTATCTCAGACTGAGCGCATCACTGCGTCGTTAACCTCCTCGACCACTTCGAAAACATGTAGGAATACTATTTTTCTTTATTTAACTTCCAGGAGTATAATAATCAAATAGAAGAATTGAAAGCTGAAATGGAAGACGCAACAAAGTCCGCTGAATATGTAAGTAAGATGTTTGTGAATATAATTTGAAAAAATTACGTCGATCCACACACAGCGTACCAGGTTACTACAATAATAATTCTGAACTTAATTATCCACGGATTAAGGTTCAAAATTTGTTGCAGAAGGTTATTGTTTTTGTGGTATTTGCTGTGTACTATATACGGTCCACGTGTTGTTGAAACATTGAATGAATGATATAATGCACTTTTTACCTCTCAGATACTCCATAATACGGAGCTTTAGCTAGTCACCTTAGAATTTAAGTAATGTACGTGATGTTATGTGATATTTATTTACTATAAATATATAGTAATGTTCTATATATTAAATATAAAGGACGCCATAATACTATATTTTGACACGAAAATCTAATAAGAAATAATTCGTTCATGAAAGTGTCTATAATAATTCATTGATTAAAGCAACAGAAAAAATTGCGTATCGCTTAAAATATGTTTATTTGAATAAAAGATAGCATCGCATCATCGCATAGTGTGTATTTGTATCCTAACATATTTGTATGAAATAATTTTGATGTACAGTATCGGTTGTAAAATATAGCATCGCATCATCGCGTAGTGTGTATTTGTATCCTAACGCATTTGTATGACATAATGATGTAGTACAGCAGCGTTGCCAGATTTTCTTTTGCCAAGACGGGATTTTGATACATTTTACATACGTCGAAAGCGAGACATAGTAAAAAACGTATATAATCGGAAGTTTTCAAATTTTTTTTTTTATTTGAGTTTAAAATTACGTTTACGTGACAATAAAAAACACCCAGCTGCGCTTCCTCAGCACGCTGCACGCGTGGTCGAGTTATCACCGAAAGCGGGACATTTAATTTCGATTTAAATAAATCGGGCCAAGATCTGGCAACGCTGTAGCGCTGTAGTACAGTATCGGTATCGGTACCGCGTGGCCAGGTGCGCGGCGAGATAGCCTCGTTCCGCGGTCGCGCGGCGGTGGTGGGCGCGGGCGCGGCGTGCGCGCAGTGCGGCATCGCGCTGCTGCTGCGCCCCTTCTACCTGTTCCCGTGCGGCCACCGCCTGCACGCCGACTGCCTGCTGGCCGAGGTGCAGCCCGCGCTAGGTCGGTACACACTACCCGCTACCCACTACCCACTACCCACACGCATTGTTGTTGCTAATAGGGATGATGACTGATTTTTGTTTGTTTATCCGTCAGGTAGAGTGTTAAAAATATTAAACACGTGTTTTTTTCGTAATCATAACATTACGGCGTTACATGGAGTTGAAATTTCGCATGACGTCACGTTAGAGTACGTTTTCTACTCAACTGTGACGTAGCGAGCCCCCACTCCGCAACTTTAATGCCCGTTATCTAAGCTATTTATTGTTAAATTGTAGTAAAAAAAAATACGTATCTAATATTTTTCTATTATCTGACTGACGTACTAAATAGAATTGCATTTTTTTTACCTATTCAAATTGTTTATTGATGTTTTTTTTTTCAATCCAATTTGGTTATCTATCATTGCTAAGTAAAAAATATTTGTTCTTAAAAACCTCAATAGATGGCGTTTTATGTTTTACGTTTGTGAATAATCCAGAATAATTTCTTAAAGGAAAAAATCTCAAAATCGGGAAAATGAAATAGAAGATTATTTAATGTAGTTTATGGAAAATTAAAAGACTTCATAATTTTAAAGCAAAAGTCAATTCGTCGACAGTTGTAACATTCTCTTATGCTGTGCTCCGAATCAACGCCATCTATTGACGTTTATGCTAAAGTCCATAGCCCATTGCTTGCTCACTTGTAGCATCTAGCGCCGACTCAAGTAAAAAAATAGCCCGAATTAGGACGATCATATTTTGTTCTATGGGATCATATGAGGCATCTGTATAGTTACGTGTATCTGTGTCTATATATAATTAATATAGTTAATTCTTTCCATACTTTGATTGATCTGTCACATGTTTTTTAATGGTCACGTCTACCCACCGTTAGTGATAATTTAAATTAGTTATTGCTTAAAATAAAATAATATATCAGCATCTTTTTATTTGAAGGTGATGGAAATTCGTAATTTGTAAATAATGTTTGGAGGTTACAATAGTAGCTTCGCAATTTTTATCCGGACTATTGTAAGATTGTAAGAGTAGGTCGGTGGCGTAGTAGATAAGCGCCGCGGCCCGCGATCGTTGTCGTTAAGCAACTTTCGCAAGGGTCGGTCACGGGATGGGTGACCAAAAAAATATCTCGAGCTACTCTGTGCTTCGGAAGGCAGGTTAAGCCGTTGGTTCCGGTCTGAGCCCCTGCAGTGGGGACGTAAAAGGCTGATGATGATGATAATGATTGTAAGATTTTATTTCCTGATATGAAATAAGTAAAACAATAAGATATATGACATCACTAGACGCGTTAGTAATTTTTTAGGACAAAATTAGACTTGATCCTTTAGTACCTAATAAAAAATGAAACACGAACTTATAGTTTTCTACATGTTTACAAAGAAAATACTGATCGGTTTGAAAATGATCAAATTAGGTACCCGCCATTATGTTTCTGCGATATTTCAACTCAATGTATCGCCGTAATTTATTGATTATGTAAAAAACAAAAAAAAAACGTGTTTAATATTTTTCAATAATACGGACAAACAAAACAATTTCGTCATCACCCCTATTTGAATTTGATTTATCATTACTTGTGGCTGACAATTTTAGGGTTTCGTTGCAGACGATCTATGACCTTCATTCGATTACGTAGGTACTCCTTTCTATCTACTTAACATCCTTTCTCTTTCATACAAAGTTTCGTTAACAAATACATAAATTAAACTTCTGATTTTTTTTTATAAAACAAAAATTAATATCATCGTTAATCCCACAAACTTACACAGAAATTAGGGTCATCGCAAATGAATGCTTTTGACTCTGACAGTCTGAACTAATGAATTCATGACGAGCCTTAATACGAGAACTATTCTCCCCCCCAAGGTCCAGCTCGCCGCAACAAGCTGGCAGATCTCCAGCGGCAGTTGTCGGTTCTATCCAACATCGAGCTGTCCACCGCCACGTCCAGCGGCCTGCCGCTCAGGGAGGTGTTACGTAACGAATTAGACGACATCGTCGCCACCGAGTGTATCTTCTGCGGAGAGTACATGATCAGCTGTATCGACAAACCTTTTATACCCGATGAAGATTGGGACAGAGTTATGAAGGAGTGGGAGTAATGAAACCAGAAGAACAAGGGCACTAGTGAATGTAGACTAATAATTATCTTATCAGATCAGTTGCATATTGTCAGATCAGAATGGTATTATCTGACAAAAATGACCATAAAAGGAGGCTAGTTTTAGATGGAAAAATGAAAATTACTTTTATTTATAAAACATAGAACAAATAAGACTAATGAGAATTTAAGTAGGTAAGCCATCTATTTTGCCATCACCTATTTTATTACTTATAATATTACATAGTTTTTATTACTTGACTGTAATTTTGTCTGTACGTAATGTATCTCATTATTATTTTTAATTAAGCATGCATATTATGTAATGGCATAAGTAGCTTCTGTGATATCATTTTTATGTAAAAAAATATAATTTTTAGTTAAATGTATGTATGAAAACTGAATAAATTATTCTATTATATTTTTTATCTATTTCATTCACATTCAATCACAATATTTTTTAAATATCCCAAAAACCAATAGACAAACAAACTATTCAATAAAGTACATATTGGTGTTGTAGTACCTTTATTGTCTCAGATACTCCACAATACGGGGGCTTTAGTTACTCACTCATCTTGGAATCTGAGCAATGTATGTGATGTTGTTTAATGTTTATCTATTTATTTTCTTATTGAACCCTTTTAAAATTATTCCCCAGGCACACTAGAAATAATACAATCAATGTTGTGAACTTATATTTATTGTGAAAATGTTATCAAGTAATTGATAAAAAATAAATAAAGGATTCGAAGAGTTCATTCCAATCCTAAAGGACAACAATTCCTTTACACATCTTTCTTTAATATTAAAAACATAAATTGTACAAACAAACACTATACATGTCAACACCTGTGTTATTTATTCACAAATAATCAACACAAAGAGGAAGGAAGGCAGAACGAGCCCCGTGCATCATAAGGTATCTATATTCTCTAAGGCAACGCTAAATTTATTTATTGACTAGCAGCACCATCTACGTCCATAGCTTGTGTTTCTGGCTTATCACCCTTATTGTCTATTTGCATCACTTCTGCCTTCGCATCCGCCTTTTGTTCTTCAGTTGTCTGTTCCTTATTGCTATCTTTAGCTTCCTTCTTACTATCTTTACTCTTGTCTCGTTTCTTAACATTCTTCGTACCTTTTTTAGGACTCGCCTTTTTATCTACAACTTCCTCGGTCTTTTTCTCCTCCGCAGTTTCGGAAGCTTTAGGTTCTTCCGGCCGCGTGTCCACCGCTTGAGGTTCAACTGCCGCCTCTTTAACTTCGGGCTCTGGGGCTGGAATCGGAGTTTGTTCGTTTGCCTCTTGAGGGACAGCTTCTTCCTTCTTCTCTTCTTGCGGTGCAGCTTGTGATTGTTCAACGTTTTCTTCTTTAGGAGTTTCTTTCATCTCTACCTCAACACCATTTTCATCAACGTTCTCTTTTGTTGTTTCAGTGTTGTCTTTCATTTCAACATCTTGGGGTTGCGGCGTGCTGCCTCCTTTCTCCGCTTTCGCTTCCAAGACCGCTATACACTTTTGGATACATTTAATAGCTTCCTTCCTGGCCTGCCTTATGTTTTCCTTCCCGTCCGTTTCGATATTGTCCAATTTAATGAGATTCCTAGTCAACATCTCATCTAAATACAAATATCTCTTGTCTTTTTTGGACCCGGTGAAGTTTTCCACGTCCGTCATGAGGTTCAAGACGTCGGTCTGGATGCTCAAGATTAGTGTGATAGGATCGTTAGGGGACGGCTGTGGTTTAGGCTGAGGTGGCGGAGTCTGCTGTTTGGGCTGAGGTGGCGGAGTCTGTTGTTTGGGCTGTGGTGGCGGCTGCTGCTTTTGTTGAGGTCGGGGCTGCGGTTCAGGTTTGGGCGGCGCATGGTCATGATGAACCGGCACTTTAACGAAGTGCTCATCCGGATGTGGTTGAGATTTGGGCGATTGAGATCTTTGTGGCGAAGCTCCACGTGTGAACGCGTTCTGCGGATACACTTTCTGCTGTACGAAAGGCTGCGGGCCCTGTCTGAACCCTTTGTTGAAGGGCGTCCCGAACGCTCTGGAGAAGTTAGACTGGGGGTGGAACACCGGCCCGTCGTCAGGGAAGTATTGTTCCCGTTCGATATGAGGCTGCGGCTGCGGCTGCGGCGGGGGCACGTACGCCTGTTTCGTTTCTCCGAAATGGGTACCGTGATCGACGTTTTTGTTGATCACAGGCTCGTCTCTACCCTCTACGAATATCGGTATGTGTCGGACGTTCGAATGCTGCTGATGTTCAGAGTGTTGGGGCGGATGCCCCTGCTCTTGGTGATTCTGGGCGCTCATTTTCGGCGTTTGGCTTTGGTTAGTCGTACAACTGGAAGGGGGTGCTGACATAGACCTTTGGTTTCTGTCGTCCGCATCGACCAAACTGGGATCGGCTGGACTCTTCTGGCCGAGATCGACAGTATTTCTTAGGCCGTACTGTGGTAGTTGCGTTTGTGTCGAGGGTCCAGGATCTCGTTCAGTCTGAGTGGATGTGGTCTGTTGCTGAGGCGACGACGGCTGCGGGGGCGCCTGGGGCTGTGGATCCTCACGGGAATCGAATCTGCGGTTCCAGTGTTGCGGAAAGTGCTCTCTGAACTCTGGTGGGATGTCGTCGAAGGGGAATCTGTCGAAACCGCCGAAGTTGTCTCCGAAATCTGCAATAACGAAACGTTTTTTTATCCAACCTGCAATGAGCAAACATGAGCTCAGTTACATATCCTGCGAATCTATTTTTAACGCAAGTGAATTCTATACTAATATTATAAAAGAGGAGAGATTTGATCGTATATTTGTTTGCAACAAATAGGCAACGAAAAGGGAAACTATTGGACGAGATTTTAAAAATCCTTTCACCTACGCGAAGCCGCATCATATCCGGTGGACATAGGCTATATTTTACTACGCTCGCGAAGCCGCTGGCGGAAACCTAGTTATATATAAACGACCAAACAATCCATTCCTTTCTGTATCACAATCAATGTTACATTGAAAGTATCATTGCAAGAGCGTAGCGTATGCCGTGAAGCCGAGTGATAGATGTGATGTGCACGTGTATGGTAGTTACCGTGTGTGGCGTCCTGGCTGGAGGGCCGCCGCTTGCTGGCCCAGGTGGCGGTGGCGGGCCGCGAGCGCAGGCGCGCCGCTATGTCCGGGTGGCGCGCCGCGAGCGAGCTCCACGCGCCCGACCCGTCCTCCTCATCAAACGGGAAACCGCGCTGTAACAATAATAATAACAATATACTTTATGGCACTCGAGACGTAAGTTTACAGGGACTTATTAAGAGATCGAGTGAACAAGGCAACCTATAACTATGGGGAGTGGGCGCAATATTGAGAAGGATGAGATACAATATATGATATTGGTTAAAAAGTTTCATATGTTAACTATTTTCAATATGGGGAAAGGATAATTTCTAACTTCATCACTAAAGGACCCTAATGATCGAACCTTCCTGATACCCTCTAGAAGAGAATTTCACAGATTTAGAAGAGAAGAGAACTGTATATTCCAGGTTAAACATCTCAGAACTCCAGGAGTCTCGCCGGATACTCTTGTGTAAATATTTCATCCCTTTTCCTTTTCATTTTTCATCGCCTATGAATATAAAAATTGACGTGGCAAATTCAATGACAACAATTTCAAATCAGGACGTCATTGAAAATCTTATGTTTATATCCTGTACCTTTCATTAATTGTAGCAAATTAAAAATTATTATTTTAGGATCCACATGATACTTTTATAATTCATAATAAAACTAGTCAAGTTCAAAGTATTTTAAACAACGCCAAAAACCACAGCCGTCTCGATCGTCTTTAAAAAACGAGGACAATTTTGTTGACAAAACATCTTGCCACTGTTTCAAGTAACAGGAAGTGCACAGAAATCGAATCGGTTTAATGCAGAGATCTGAACGCGGATGTGATAGGCGTACATACATCAGGGTTAACTCAACTACAATGTAACGCAATCATTTTGCAGGACGAAAGCCATCCTTTCCTGAATTTAGTTTTAAAAACTGTAATCCCACAATTGTATACTTATAACATCAAGCTATTACCGCCATCTCCTTGAATATCGTTATATTAATTGCGGAGTATTTTTTATATATCTGACAGCCCTTAGAACACTCTCGATAACTTGCAGTGTCCATATATGGCAAGGTCGTAGAATGACCTTACTGTCGCGACTTTCGTGTCTCGATTTCTTGACGCCTGAGATAAAAAAGCCACTTGCTTCTCTGATATCGGCACCAAATGTTAACTATCGATATTACCGACAATGTCTCATATATTCATGATTGTATATAAGTAAATGAAGCGATTCATTAAGACTACGACAAAATTAATGATTGCAAATAAATAATTCCGATTATTACATACAATACAAGCTGAACAAACGAATGATACATGACTAATTTTCGTGAGTAATTTATTGTTTACTTCAAAGTATAAAGTGGGCGAAGGTTTTTGTTGTTCAAATGGAAATAAAAAGTAGACTTCGACAAAGAAAGAGCGTTGAACCGTCAACGAACCACAAGTCACGTCGAATGATACCCTGAAGAGTTGAAGACTGATCACGATGGACAAGTCAGTGCCTACTTGTCAACACTGTCTTAGATAATTAAATATAGCCGTTCTTTAGAGAGAATAGTAATATTAATTAACGATAAATCGCACCCTCGAAAATCCAGCAGTATTTAATTATTCTACAATATATACTGACTCCATAAAAAACAACCAAACCCGTTAGAGTAATAAGGACGGATTATTACATAACACATGATATCTTTCAGAATCAAACAACCATTACAGTCTTTAAAGAAAATATATTTAAATATTCTGTAAAATAAAAATATACACCGAATTCGGATAATACGACCAAATCAGCATAAAGTCACGCGCCATTACATGACAATTTCTTTTTTTGTGTTATATAAACGTTGCCAATGTCCACACGATGACATCACCCTAGTGGGTGAGTCGAACAAAAACTGATAGAAACCTTACGTCATGCGCAATCAAAATGGTCGTGTTGTTGGAAAATGAATAACCATAATACAACCAGGGCCATGTATTATAAACATAATATAATAAATACAACGGGATTAGATATAGAAATCGAAACAATATTAAAAACTGCAGTTTTAATAATATTCAAAGAATACACGTTTAGTGTTATTATTAAGAAACAAGGTTTAGCGTTGGATCAAATTTACATTGAGACTGCACTTAGTATTGCTAAGTCTCTGTTTAATAATATGAATTTGGACTAATACTAAAATTACAATTTTAGCGTAAATTTAAACCTTGTTTATTAATATCACTGTATATGCATATCATAACAAATGCGTATGCATAAACTTTTGACATTGTAATTAAACATTAACGTGATTAGTGTTTAATATTAACCGCACAAACCGAGACTGGATCAGCTGACGTAACCGCAGTCAATGACCGCTGAATGCTGAACAACTCAAATACGTATCACGTCACGCATAGCATTTTGATGGACGCCAAATGTAGCTCTAGCACAGGTACAGTTATTCAATATGGAAGATGCAAAATAAATATCAAAGTAATAAGACGCCTAATAAACTGTATACGGTTCCACAAGATACTACAAATAAAATCGTACTTTAAAACAGGCTTTTTAATTTTCAAACTGACCTACATTCATAAGTATGATATTAGCATTCAAACGTTGTAATTATACGATTACGGATAAGCTAAAACTACTGGTTATTCAAAACAAGCCTTTTAGAATCGACATAAAAAACGTAGGAGTGAAGTGACACATAAGAACCCCAAGTCCGTTTACGTACATAACACATATAAACAAGAGATTTTGCCATTTAAGATAAATATTAGGTTGACATCACCACCTTAAAATGGACGATCCAAAACACGTGGATAGAAGATTAAGAACAAATTGTGTTTGCTCGCTCGGCCACAAACTTGACAAACAGGAAAAACGTGCACAAACGACTTATTTTAACGCAACGTAAATGAAGATAAACTTCATGCACATTCATATCAGTACTGTGCAGTACAAATAAATTAAAATTATAAGGCAACTTATAAATAGAAAGGGAACCTGGAGAAATTAAACGGACAGTTTAACAGTCTTATTATTTTCAAGAATACAAAACAAAAAAAAAAATATCTACAGTTTACTCAACGTTGATTTTTAGATACTGACCAAAAGATTATCCAATATTATTAGCTTGTCATTCTAAGGAATGTTGTCTACTAGAAAAGCAATTATAGAGTTCATCGTTTCGTTTGTTTTTCCATATAAAATTAGATAGAACAACTATAATTTTATTGCTTCTGCAATTAAAATAGCACAGATCACAAACTCCGCATTTTATCGGCGATAATAATTTAGCAATAAAATGATTAATTTAATTAATAAGTGCGAGGGTCTATAAATGGTCTTCTGATACCGGCTGCGCAAGCGCACACTCGGCCGACCGGTGACTCACGAGACTCGCGCGCCAACGACGTCAAACTGTTTACAATCATTTCTACACTCGCCTGCCGGTACATATTACACGGACATTTTGCTCGTGTGAACTGAATAAACTTGAACTTAATTGTTTGCTAGCAGATGAACTAAATGAGACCTATAAATATTAAATAAATATTAACGAATATTGTTTCCCTCGGGCACGTTGTCGGTGAAAGCTATACACAGATAAGGAATTATCCATAGATCGTAAAACACAATGGATTTCAATGCAGTTTTCACTGATATACAGAGTGATTCTAGAGGAAGATTTTTATGTAAAATGCAGAGCAATGCGTGAAAGGCGAAGACGCTGGCGAAAAACAAGTAAAATAATTCATAATTTGAGTTCAGCATTTTTAAACAAGTGTCTCAATTAAATAAATTATGGCTATGCAAAAAATAAACAATAATTACCTACGTCACGAAAGTAACCACAATGTAATTTAATAGCCTCTGTAGTAATTTAATTAGGTTTATCCATTTATTTTATTAATAGTTTCACTGCATGTGTGAGTTACCTATTCAGTCATCCATCAATTATCATAAATAAAAATGTAATATTCCACAGATAAATATAAACAATAAGGTAATCACCTCGCCTCGACCATGCCACTGTCTGGCTAATTTCCAAGCTAAGAAGGGAAACAGTTCTCTTAAGGTCGTAATCTTTATAAAACTGAGCGTAAAGACAAAAGAGAAAACTGAAAAATCAACACGCTCTTCAACGAGATAGAAAGACGACAGAGGGTAGCGTTTTGCATATCAAAAGCAATTTTTATGAATTGACCACTATCTGACCTGATGGTAAGTGGCCTAAGATGGCATATGCATGCCTACCCAAGAAATGCCTATTCACTCTGGCTTTGAAGAGTGGCCAGGTTATACTGATCGGGGAATACATAACCAGGCAATGTATTAATTATTTAGCTGTTCGAAAAAGAAAGGAACTGGCAAATCGCTTAGAACGAGCATGAGGGATGTCGACGATGTATAAGCCAGCCTGTGTCTCGTGCTCAGGTGATAGAACGGGGCCGGTGGAATCGAAACATGGAGACCCTTTGCACACGCCAAAACTCATGCTTAAAAACCCGGTTAGTTCTCAACTCTAACCGTTCGTGTCGGTTGATTACAGAGTCACCCACGTATTTTTAATTTTTCTTATAATAAAAGTACAATTACAAGAAGGAATGAACAAAATGGTAAATTTTATAGGAAACTTAGTTTTTTTTTATTAATTACATAAATTACGAAGTTATGTAATTTTTTATTACAGCCTACGTGACAGATTTTCTTTATTCGTAGAAAAGTAATTGAAAGTTGGTGATTATGGCCTTTTCCGAAAAACTATTCGCTGTCTTATTTCATACCAAAACGTTTTTAACATAATTGTTTAATATAATCAGTGAATGTTTCATATTACTAGATCACTATTTTGTATAGTTGTACAATAACTTTTTCGAAACTATTCGGCGATTCAATAAAACTTAACAAATAGACAAACCTACTTTAGATTTTACTACTAATCACTTAAGTATGTGTTTTCTTGAATAATTAATGAAAAAATTTGATTGCAATTATACTTACAACCTTTAATTAATTTAAAATCAAAGTCACAACACAACTAACAATAAAAAAAAATACAATTATTTAAATGAAAATTCACCAAAACATCAAAACGTGCAACGAATTATGTTGTATTTATTATTAAAATTTGTAACTGGATTAATAACCTTAATGAATTCAAAACTTATAAATTAATGAATAGTACAATAACCTACCTCATTCGAATTCCCATGATATTCAGGTGGCTTATCTATTACAACAGGAGATTCCATATCTTAAAACTAGCACTGAATGGATGTATCACAGATAAACACTTCACTCGATGCGTGTAACGCACGATAATACTGATGCAAACAATATCACTGTTTGATTTCTCGTTTTATACTGCGGCGGTCGGCGGCACGAAACTGCTTTTATGCTACAAGGCGCCCGTTCGAGACGATTCTCGAAAACACTCGAACAACGGGCGGCGCTCCCGCGTCGAGCGACGATTTCAATAGCGGGGTCGTATACCTGGCTCGGCATAATCAACGCCTACGATGGACTGCTCGAACGAAACAAGCAATGTATACCATGTGATACGGACGAATCGATAAACGTACCGGTGAGACAGCATACGCCTGCGCTACAAAGCTTTCTAGAAGTTTCGAAGGACCATTCGCCACAGGATTTTCAACCCTCCAACTTTATGCAGTATAAAATATATTTTTTTTCTTAAGGGTTCATGTATCTAGAGTGCTGTATCTTCTATAAACTTATTCAATGCACATAAATATTGTACAATACCATCATACTTATTTTTTATTTTATGTAGCAAATACACAAGATCTAAAATAAAATTGACTATCCAACATGAATTATTCATATATTCTATTTAAATAATAATGAATCGCATAATGTGTTGCTAAGTGCCAAGACTTGAGAAGGCAAATTTAGTTATTTTTAAAATCCGTGGAAGGCAAAAACAATGGAAAATCAATCTAAATATCATCTCTTTTTTCACTTCAAATTCTCCGGGTCAATTGTTGCAATTAAACTTAGAATACAATTAAAGATTTCTATGTATACTCGAAGTCTTTGAATAAATTCCTTTAATGTTGTCGTTGAAGTTAGAAATAATCCTATTATTAATATTATAAATGTGAAAATTTCTTTGTTTGGATGTTTGTTCGTCAATCACGCCGAAACTACTGAACGGATTTTGATGAAATTTGGTATACAATATAGAATAGGGTATTAGGTGACTTAGATAACAGGATACTTTTAATTAAACTTAACATTTCCCTAGGGGCCACGCGGGCGAAGCCGCTGGCGAAAGCTAGTAGATTATAAGATTAATACATATTCAGAATTTTGAAAAAACTAAATCATTATCGTTAGCCTATTAATATCGCACTGCAAGAGTTCCATTCTTATAACAAACAAGTGAAAAATAAAATCACAAACCACACCGAGGATCAATTGGGAATCCGTTTAAGGAGCTAATGTCTCTGAAACTCTAGACAGCTTTATATTAAGTACATCATTCATTAGGATGACTGGCCATTCAATAATCTATGCTCTTTTTTATAACGTATTTTAATTTGTAATGAGGAAGTATTTTAAGAAAAGAAAGCAATAAAAAGCACCTCACTAGATGGCGACTCTAGCAAAAATAGATTTTTTACAGAAAACGAATGAACCAAAGATAGATAGTAGTTTTATGGAAACTACTATCTATCTTTGGTTCATTCGTACTTTTATCTAACATACAAATACGAAAAAGTACAAAATTGAGAATATGAGTTGTTTATTGAGTTTTGAAAATTACTTTATACATGAAAAAACCGAAAGGGTTGTCATGGAGAAATCAAGAATGTACCGTAGCGACATCTAGTTTGATTTCGGGAACTAATGTTTTTTTTTTAATACCGCCTCATAATATTACGTGGTTTTTTCTCGAGTAATAAATCTAACTATTAGTCAACCGTAATGTTTACACCTTTATAATTTAAGTTCGTAGAAGTATTAAGAACATTGCAAACCATTTACTTAGCTACAAAATCTAGAAAACTTTTACATATTCATAAAAGAAGTTATTACTGTGACGAATCTTCCATTTATGTAAGACAAGTATAAATAGTATCCTTTAAAAGATGATTTATATAGAATATTCTTAAACAATATACATAACGACATTGCAATCAACAAATATAAGTCTGATTAATGTCATTACCATATAGGATAACCCGCCGTTAATTTAATTAGGTCTTTCGTCTAGTTTCCATATGTAACGTTAGTAGTATGCATAAAGCCCTTACAACGTAACAACAACACCAAAAGCCAGGGTAATGTAGCGTTCGATCTTCGATTGCGAAGGTTAAGGAATTTCCGCAAATACCGGTCATCAGGTTGGTGACCATATATTATTAACTAAAGTACCGTTTTTCTGAAGGCAACCACATCCCTAACCGCCTATGTGGTTTATGACATGTTCTCTTTATGTTGTATAGAAATCAAATTTATTATTATATAGTCTCGTTTGTATCACCGTGAAAATCTAAAGAATAAGATTTTGTATATTGATTACTTAATTTGGTCCAGATATTAGTATTTAATTTGCATTAAGTATGCGTGATGTTTGTTACTCCAAAACTCAAAACGACACTAAATTACATGAAATAAAAACTTAAAAAAAAAATGGAACCGACTACTTTTTTTTTTTAAAGTGATAAATAATACTTATCTTAAAAGCGGTAAAATATTTTTTTTTAAACAATTAACTACAGAAAATAGTTTCTTTAAAAAAATTATATATGTTATAGCAACATTTACATTTATTAATATAATTATTTTAAAAATACATTTAACTTATTTATTTACAGACCAGTTCCAATTTTGGGAGTCTTGCCCCCGTGAATTGCTGCCTTTGATTTAATTTACTCCGATTTACAGAATGAACAAACTGTATCTGTGACAGATTGTACTTTTGTTTTGTTGCTAGGAGTTACCAATAAACAGTTGCGTTTAAATGGCCGTGGCGTTTACTTTAGCCTCACATAATTCCCCGAATTCCGTGATATTAGTGGCGACCGTGAAATAAAAATCAATTATGGAAGTCTTAAAACGCAAAAGGACGCAACTCCGGCGTGAATTTTCAACCACAGTGAAAAATTTCGAAGAAGCACTCACCGTACCGGAACATGCTCTCACCATAGAAACTACGTTCATCGCAGTAAGAGATGCATCGGAAAGGTTACAGAACGTTGAAGAGCAACTATCAGAAGCATTTTACCAAAGTGAGTCTTTTGATGAAAAATCATTCCAAGATGATCAAGATAAAGCTTTGGAGTACAGAACGAAGTGGGCAGAAATACGTGCAAAGTACGAGTTGAGGAGCCACAGTGCGTCGCACACAGAAAACCATATTTCTAGTGTATGTTCTAACGAGAATGAGCGTTTTGTGAGGTCAGAAATTAAGAAAAAGAATCTCAAGATGCCTTTATTAGAACTACCCAAATTCGATGGAGATGTACGTAATTGGATCCAATTTTGGGGTCAATTTCAAAAAATTCATATGGACGCAGATATCAACGGCATAGACAAGTTTCAATATCTAATACAATCAACTACAGAAAACAGTCCAGCTCGTCAACTTGTCCGCAGCTATCCACCGAGTGCAGACAACTATGATAAGGTTATAAATGCACTGAAAGCTCGTTTTGCACGTGATGATATGCTCATAGAAACATATGTTCGAGGTCTGTTAAGTTTAGTGTGGTCTCAGTTAAAAGGTGAGTCATGCAGTTTATCTCAATTGTACGACAGTCTACAAACTCATCTTCAAGCACTAGATACACTAAAAGTAACCAAGGATAAGTTCGCTTCTATATTGTACCCTATGATAGAAAGTACGTTACCCGAAGAGTTGCTTAGATCATGGAATCGTATTCGTTCTGAGCGACGAACAATTACAAAAGAAGGAGATGACGACGATGACTTGAGTTCAATAATGATTTTTCTAAAGGAAGAAGTAGAGTCTGAAGAACGAATAAATTTAGCTCGTCAAGGATTTACTCAGCTTTCATTAATGAACGTCCCGTCAACTTCATCGCCAAAACCTCCTACAGCTTGTTTTATTTCTGATGTGACCAACAATAACCGTTCAGTTTCGGTGAAATGTGTTCAGTGTTTGTGGTGTGATAAAGATACACATGCACCTACAGAGTGTCATAAAGCTTCGAGAATGACGCCGAGAGAAAGATTAGAGTTTGTTAAATCTAAAAAGGCATGCTTAATTTGCTTAAAAAAGTCGCATAATGCTAAGAAGTGCAAATATTTTCCAAAATGTTTGTTTTGCAAGAAACGTCATGTCACTATAATGTGTCAAAATTTACCAGAGAGTAAAGTATCAGAGTCTGAAGTCAGAAACTATTTCAGTACCCATAAAGAAATCCGAAGAGTTATTATGCAAATTAGAAACTACAACTTTATTGCAGACTATAGTCGTGAAACTCGTTTCAAACAATAAAGAGATTTTAGTTCGCGCACTCATAGATACCGGTGCTCAAAGATCGTACATCAAGAATAATTTAGCGAAAGAATTAGGATTGACACCATCACATACGGAGAAACTTACACATTGTTTATTCGGCGGCGTTGAAACTACTTCACATGAACATTTTGTTTACAACATATGTTTGATAAGCTTGTGTAATGATAATTTTTGTATGAATCTTTCTGTTTTAGGACAGGAATATATTTGTGGAGTCTTGCCTAAAGTTAGATCTAATGTATTGATCGAGCAATTAAAACGAAAGGGTATTACTTTAACTGACACAACTTCTACTCCTGATGACGTGACTGTACTTATTGGTGCGGACTTTTCAGGTATGTTAATGACTGGTGATTTTATACAGCTCGAAAACAATTTGACTGCAGTACGTACAAAGGTGGGGTGGACAATACAAGGTCCCATTACAGGTGCCTTCGCTTCGACTGTAAGTACGACTCTCCACTCCTCGCCTATTATGAATATTTCGGAACTGTGGGACTTAGAAACGTTGGGGATTCGAGATCCTTGCGAACAGGAAACTGTTAAATTTCGTGAGAAAGCAGTATTAGATGAATTTGAGTCGACAATCCATCTTAATAACGAGAATAGGTATGAGGTTTGTTTGCCATGGCGAGACGGTATACCACGGCCTAGTTCTAATTTTGAGTTAGCAAAAAAGAGGTTGTTATCGACTACAACGCGCCTTCAATCATTAGGTAAAATGAAAAGTTATGATGA